GTCAAAGACCGCGCGAAAAATGGCGCAAGTAAAAGAGCGGGCCTCTTTCATTTTTTGGTTCTCGTTTCATTTCTCGCGCGATCAAAACCGAAAATCCCTTTCCACGGTCTATTTTTGCTCTGAAACCAAACGGAAACGCTTGCTACGCAGGCTAGTACGCGAGCGGCTACGTATCAATGAGCTGCTAAAACGTCTACGATCAGCATCTGTTATAGAAGAGCGCATTAACCAACCTAAACAATTCCACTGTACGGCCATACCTTATACCATGTACCATGCCATGCTAAACTGCTCCACCAATAATAGCGGAGTCCTCTCTTGCGCGCAGCCGAGCACTATGGGTAAGAAAATTTAGTCATCTATGCACCCGAGAAAGTTTGGTGGTCACGTGTGCGTACGTCTGCCTGTCCTCCCCGCCCGCCCGTTCCTCCGCACCATAAGGAGACCAGTATCAGGCGCGGATCCACACCACCGGTTTCCACCGTTTTATGGAAATCGGTCAGATTTGTCATAATAAATATATTTCAAATAACAACAAAAAACTTAAAATCGAGAGATGAAATGATCCGCTGATTTGTAAGGCTTAGACTGCCTGAATGACTTAGAAATCAAAAAAAATTTCAAGGGGGAGCATTCCCCTAGACCCTCCTAGAAGCTTGCCCTTCAGCCCTCGTGTAGGAAATCGGTCAGTATTTTTCTAGATCCGCGCCTGAATATGAAATGTCACACTTCTATCTTGAATGGGAGCCTGCAACCTTTGTTTAACTTGATAATAGATATCGTTATCATGGTAAATTGACAACTGTCATAACAGGGTGTCCGCTGACCAGCATCACATGATGTACAAACTCAGGTGCCAACCCATCGAGGTCACGTGTTTTCTGTTTCTTTTCCGCTGAACAGTTATAAGCTTTAAATTGATCGCAGGCTCACGTTTATGTTTTAAGCTGGTCCACAAAAGTCATATGGTTCTCCCCTAAAGTTATATTAAGTATAGATTTTTGGATTTCTTTGCAACGCCAGTTCCAAATTCATTCTCCAAAGTAAATTATAAATGCATAACTGGGAACCTCGCTTTAAGCTCTGGCTACATCTATATGTTAAAAAATATGCCGAACCAAACCCAAGGTGTTATGGAGGTTCCTGCAGATCACTACGAGGAATTTCATGAAAACTATATTCTCAAGATTACTTACAAAATCCTATGATTACGGGGAAATGGTGAAAATTTTGATTTCTTAGGAATTTATGGGATTTGTTTTGCAATGCTATTCCCTGAATTAGCACCAGTTATAACAAATTCAATTGTAACGTCACAGGGAAATAGCCTAACCCCGAGAAGATTCTTTGTGTTTGTATAGGTAATAGCATGATTTGTAGTGATATTTGGCATAAATACCACGAGTGATATTTCGAAATTGTTGTATCACTAGTGGTATTTATGCCAAATATCACGTACAAATCATGCTATTATTTGTTTATACTACTACCCGCAAAGGTTTTGTAATTTTCACATGTAGGTATTTCAAATTAAGCTGAAATACCACTGCTCTTAGCCAATCAAATTGAAGAAATTTTTCNTATCACTAGTGGTATTTATGCCAAATATCACGTACAAATCATGCTATTATTTGTTTATACTACTACCCGCAAAGGTTTTGTAATTTTCACATGTAGGTATTTCAAATTAAGCTGAAATACCACTGCTCTTAGCCAATCAAATTGAAGAAATTTTTCATGTAGTAGTATAATACCTTGTATTCAAGATAAAATTTAATTGTTTTGCAAGATCCATATGTGCTCTTATGTAAATTACAGAAAGGAATAGTGATCATTGACAGCCCTGGTGTTGGAGAATCTGACGAAATGGATGAGATAGTGATTAAGTATCTGCCTGAAGCTTTTGCTTTTATATATGTCGCTAACAGTACGATTGCAGGGGGAGTCAAAAAAGACAGAGTAAGTACCTGGATTATTGTGAGTCCGTTCCAGGAATTTACACGGAGTGAAGCTAGGCCTGTCCCGCTTGCGCTCATAAAGTGCTGGAAAGTTGCTTCCTGGAATGCCAAAACGTTGCTAAGAAATTGCCAAAAATCCAAAAATTTATGCTACCCAATCGTCTAAAGTTTCTACCTAAATCTCTTTATATTTTTCTATAAAAGTGAGTTAAAAAGCTCTATTTTTTGTTCTTCGCAATAACTACTCACATCAGTCAAGAACTGATAAAGTTTGAAACTTAGCTTTAAAAAGTTTCTCACTTAAATGGACGAATTTTAAGCGAATTTTAATACGTTGTATGAAAATAAATCTTTTTCTTTATAATTGAACAAAATGTGTATTAAAGTTTTTTTTTTATTCCAGTTTACCTTCTACAGGCTGCCTTTCAGGCCTCTTAGGATGCCGAGAGCCCGTAAGCAACACTATCATACTATTTTAAATTATTCATATGGCAAAAATTTCAGTTCGACGTTGTACTAGAAATATTCTTTGCTCTATAAATGAGCTAAATGAGCATTTAATGTCACTTTTTTTAAGCTTACCTTTTCCGTTTTCTTGTGTTTAATTTATTTATGCTGACTGCGTTTCAGGCCTGTTAGGCACGTTTAACTAATATGCCTTATCAGCCCTTCGAAAACGTTTTCAAGTTGGGAAGGTTATGTGTTCAAAAGGTTGATAAACGTTCAGGAAATTCGCATAAATTGAAGTCTTCTGTGAAATCGTTGACACATGCTTGATTTGTGCTCTAAACCTAGATTTTGCTCAAAAAACTTGCTCGAGGTTGCTTGAACCGCAGCAATTGCTTCAAACGTCAAAAGTTGCCGAGCACAATCGGGACAGGCCTAATCGAAGCTAAGAGTATTAACTATTCGATATTAGTGGAAACGGAACAATTATTCTGGAGAGAAAAAAAAAACTAAAGGGCCCTGATTCCAAAGGGAATTCCTTAAAAACGTACTTGGATTAGGAATCCTGAAAAACTGTTCTTAGATTTAAGCTAATGAATCCATTCGGAAGTTGGCTTTTTGGTTCCATGGGGTTAGAGTTAGCCTAGTGTTAGTTCTAACAGCAAATCGTGTTTGGATTCTACAATCAACATTTAGACTTTCCGAAAGAAGCGAACCCTGAGAAATTTTATATTGTGTTCTCCAGAAAAAGAAACACATCTTAAGTTTTGTTAAACTCAGTAGTACCATTTTTTCTTTACTGGGAAATAGTCAATTAATTCACTTAGAGCTGGTGATAGCTAAATAAGTGAATAGCAAACGGCTAAGTTTAAGCGTTTCTTTCAAGTTATAGTAAGCAAAAGGAAATGTATGATGTCTTGATTTATCGTTTTTGATTGGTCCGATTGCTGCTGTATGTATACAGTTGAACAAAGCCAACAACAATATTGTGAGGACTCATGAAATATTCTGACAAACCAAAAGCTAAATTGAAGACGTAAACGCGTGTGACGATAAAGGGTATCAAGATTACTTAAAGATGAAAGGTAACTTACTAACCTTCTGTTCAAATGTCCCATGGGAACTCTCATATAAATGAGCGGGGATGGTCGTCGTCTGGTTTACGAAGTGCAAATTAATTGCAAATTTCAGTACCACTTGGGGTCTTCAAGATGGAATACCAATATTTTTACGAGGTCTGTACTTCTCCTTTCCGGCTATTTGGTTGTCTGTTTTAGAATGGTATTTTTCAGGGTCCATGTCAAACCTGAGCCACGCCCTTATTGGCCTCCATCCGCGGTGTTATTCCAATTTTCCATTAAACCTCCGCCTATTTCAACGAAGCTCACCCGGAACAAATTTTCGCGCCCCAAACTGTTACTCTTATCCCCTTTTTGTCGCCTGTTGCTTCGTAATAATGAAACTTAAGTTATCGTGCCAACGTTAATTTTTACTCACAGCTTGTAAAACTGCTTCAAAGCGCGAGGGATGTGTCAATCGAGGTGCCAGGAGAAGGAAAAGAGGATGGGAATCTATCGCTTGATATACAGGAACGTCTGTTATCCAAGTGCGCTTTGTTTGTGTGCAACAAATGGGACTCCGTCCCGGAGAAAGATGTGCCAATCGTTAAAAAAGAAGTTATAGAGAAACTCCAAAGGGTCTGGCCTGGTGTTGATCCCGATTCACAGATCATTTACATGTCAACCACGAAAGCTAATAAAGCTCAAAGCCTTGGTGTTATCTCCAAAGAATTTTCCTCTTTAATGGAAGGATTGAGGTCATTGGTCTTACAAAGTATAGAAGCAAAGCTGGAACTTCATTGGGAGTAAGCTTTATTGTGCATGTTTTGTCCATCCTCACTGTGAAACATTAAATGTCACAAAATATTTCAGGGGAAACGATTGAAGAATAGTGCACCATTTTTGTGAGAGGAGGAGTTTCCGTTTAGTGCTCGTACACAATTTAAATGTTAGTTTTCAGGATTGATTCCACCTGCGGATTCACACGTTTGATTTTGTTGTTGTGGGAAGGGGAAGGCCCCGGAGGGGGGAAATATATTTTGGGGAAAAATATGGAATTTAGCGACATGGTTTCGGATGAGGGGGGCATGTCATTTATAGACCGGTAATATTTTAATTTTTATTTTAATAAATTTTGCCCCCTAGGGAGGACCCAGGGTTCTGTTTGTTGTTGTGGGAAGGGGGAGGCGCGGGGGGGGGGGGGGGGGAGGAGGGGGAGAGAAGAGAGTAAAAGGTATGGTTTGTTACAGGTTTGACGCTGACTATTTCTGGATACCGGAAGGTATTTCATGTGACACACTTTTCGGCTAGTGCTTAAACTTGAAATAGTTGTTCTCCCACCGATACCATCTGCACTCGCTTTGTTTCTTCGCGCTTCCCTTTCGGTGTCGAAGAAATGTGCAATATGGTAATTAGGATGAGGAGAATTGAACTAGAAATAACTGAATCAGTATGAGTTCTCTGCAGGCTAAGGCACCAGCTGAGACAACTGAAAAGAAACACCTTCCAAAATAGTCCGTTTGAAACCAAATCCATCCCGTGACAACAACTTTTATGGCAGATATGTTTAAACGGATCAAAAGCTATAATTATAAAAAGAATAGTGCGGCTGCAGGAGTAGTTCTCTTTTTTTGTTGTTGACTTTTTAACCCTATATCAATCCTGTTGACCCGAAGGATTTTCAGAGACATGGAAACATGACTGTGTTTTAGCAAGTGACATGAATTCAATTTGTTGAAATTTTGAGAAGGAACGTCAAAGATAAACGTTTTGCCAAAATTTCCTAGTACAAATTTTTCTGAATCAAGACTGAAATATTTTTTGTTATAGATGGCTTTACAAACTTCTTTCGAGGATTTTCATTCAAGCAAAAGTGTTTGTGGTAAACGCTGCAAAGAGCCCCCAGGAAATCAGGGAAAAACTGGGAAAAATTTTCAACCGCCTAGAGGCAATTCAAAAAGATCAAGGGAAAGAGATAAAAGACCTCCGCGAATCTTTCAGAGAACAAGTTAACAGTGTTGTGCATCAACTCTTGCAACATCTCCTGTCAGACGACATAAAGAAACGCTTTACAAAGTGGTCCAAAGAAGACGCTCCAGATGAGGATGGGTCCTGGAAGGAAGTTGAAGAGAATGTAAACGCCGCTTTGTCCAGCCGTTTTCTAGAAATTGTAGATCAGTGGGAAGAGGAAAACAAAGTGTTTTCAACTACTCGTACTTTCCTCATGGAGCAGTTTCAAGATTACTTTAATAATGTCGAATTCAAATTACAGAATGTTCAAAGCGAAGCCGCAGATGACGGCTCCAGCAATCCAAACAAGGTAGCCTTTAGAATTCAAATTTCATTCTGGCAGAAAGCTGTTTGGAACATGAAGAATTTTAGTCTTGGCCTCGGTAGATTGCTTATTAAAGTACGCAATTTGAGGCTAGGAGCAGCGATCAAAAGCGCTAACGAGTTGGCTTCAAATGTTGTAAAAATCTTGTACAAAGATTTATTAAAAGACGTGTCTAAAGACATTCTCACTGACAGTATGAAAAAGAAGCTTAAAGCGTTTGTGGAAGACAAATTAAACGATGTTAAGCTCTATCTTGATAGAATCGAAGCTCGTCTGCAAGAGATGATCAACGCGGACAGGCAACTTTATGAGCAACTAAGTAAACGATCGGCTCGCTATCAGCCTTTGTTCTATGTGGCAAAACAGAACAGGGATCAACTGGCAAAATTTGGCTTAAGCGAAGTTTGTGCTGTAAAAATCGATCGCGAGGAATTGGAGTGGAAAGAAGAAACGTCTTCCTACCTTGGCTGTGGATCATTTGGTGCCGTTTACCAAGGAAAGATGAAAAAAGATGGAGAGGTAAAAATTGTGGCCTTAAAAGTGTGGAATGAGGCGCTTGATGCCGCAAATGCAAAAGAAATCATGGAGGAGATAAAAAATTTGAGGTAATGATTGTACACTCACTCAGGTCCGAAACAGCTACACCTCCACATATACAGAATTTTTTCTATACATTTGTGTTAGTACAGTACTTGCCTGTCGTGTTCCTCGGCAGTATCATAATAATTTATGGTCAGTTTCCTTGCAGATTTTCAGCGAAAAACTGTAGTTGAAATCTATCGTCCGACGAGTGTTACATATTTTTGTTTATTTTTGCTACCAGTTGGAGTCCGTGCAAGTTAAGTAATTCGACTCTATTTTCGATTCTTCTATAGCTGCTGTCGGTGATCTCTCTCGTCACATTGTTGAGTTCTGCATTTTTGACGAAACAGCTAGGTTGCCACGCCACTGTCTTACGTGACGTCAGTCGTGGATAACTTTTGCTGATATTCCATCAGTTATGATTGACGTCAATGATAAAATACCGTGGAACTGAATCGATATAACTAAGGGCCAAAGAACTCTAGCAACATGTGCTAATGATAATAATTAATAATAATAATAAAATAATAATAATAATAATAATAATAATAGTTAATCAATCAATTAATTAATTAATTATTAATGATTTATTTTCGTCTTTTCTGTTAATTAGAGTGTTAAACCACCCTCACATTGTGAAGTTTTATGGCATATTACTTGACAAAGAAACTTCACAAATGGCTTTGGTCATGGAAAGGTGTAAAGGAAACTTAAAGAGCCACATCTTCAGCGGTCCAGAGTCAGTTCCTGGCAAATCTGAAAACCCCGCTGTCTTCAGAGACGTACGCCGTTGTGCAAAAGAGATCACCGATGGTTTGGCTTTCATGCATGCGATGGGAGTCGTGCACAGGGACCTCACGTTGGAAAACATCTTGGTACTTATCGTATAAGAATACATGTATTTTTTCACGATTTTTTGTCTTATAAGCAATTATTGGATGAGGTTTTTGTGATATCCAGAATAATCGAGGTCGAGGTAGTGGTTATCACCGTAGCCGAAGGCTGAGGCTGATAACCCTTACCTTATATTGAACGAAAAAAAAATTCTTTTTAAAGAATATTTCAGTGCCATTAAGATATTGAAAGTATTTGAATTATACTCGACTTACCTCAGATCAGGCCGAATTTTAGTAATTCTGATACTGCCTCTCTGAGGCAGTATCAAAATTACTAGGTCCCACAAGTCAACAGGTACGAGAGAATGAATGGACAGTCCACAATTCGAATAAAACGACGGTTAGCTCTGTGACAGAAGACGGATCGAAACGCACCAATGATATTAGGAGTCTTCGTAGCTAGTAACATCACGGCTGAACTGACAGACGACCAATAACATCTCGAATTAATTTGCCAATCAGGTCAATACCCAGAGTTTGATACCATGAATTGACTTGATACAACTCACTTTGACTCCGAAGATGACCAACGCACACTGACAGGTTGTCGAAAAAAGGTCAGTCACTGTCAACAACAACAGTCCTATTCAGGACTACGTTCACCCGTATGATCATGCTCCACCTTCTAATTATGGACTGTCTCGCTCTCTTGCCCATGTCAATTTCAATTATTTCCAGCCTGTAAAATAAACCCTGATCTCAGGTAGGCTCGACCATATGAGTGCACCCAAAATTACACTGCTTTGTAAGTACTTCACGTTGCGATTTTAGTGAGCGGCCTGCCGCCGTGAAAAGTGCTGTCGGTTCACCATTATTGTTACTGAGAACCTGTTTACACGAGTCCAGACTAAAACGGACAAAAAGTTGCACGGATCCGTCTTTCGTTTTCATGAGACGCGCGGAACTGTGCAATTCAGTTTTTAACAGCAAACCGTACTGCAATCTGTAGCATATTTTTTTCAGGCTCTCTTTTCGCAACTGCTTATGTTGCGTCTATAACACCGATGATCTTCTTTCATATAATCCTTTAACCTGCAGTTCTCATATATGATTTTTATATATTCATAACTTCGTCATCATCCTTTCAGGGGGTTTATAACGAACCAGCACAATTGGTAGAGCGCTGCACCGGTATCGCAGGGGTCAAGGGTTCGAATCCTGTTTAAGCCGAATTTTTTTCAGGCTTTCTTTTCGCAACTGCAAAAGTTGCGTCTATAACTGCGTTGATCTTCTTTCATTTAAGAATTTGCACGGTTCCGTATTAACGGGTTGCACAGGTGAAAATCCGTCCTTTAAAAATTTGTCGGGACGCGCGTAAATGGGGTCTGAGAGAAATGAAGAAAAAATTATAGTCACTGCACTCTTCTAAAAGTCTATATTCCTTGTCCCATTAAAGCTGACTGACGAAAACACAGTGAAGATTGCCGACGTGGGCCTGGCTAAAGCAGAAATAGACATCACCGGTACCTATACGGGAACACCTGTTTATATGGCACCTGAAGTGTTCCATTCCCAAGTCTACGGCACCAAGGCAGACATCTACAGCCTGGGGCTGTTAATGTGGGAGATGTGGTATGGGCAACGGGCCTTTGCTGACGCTCCAGGAACTACACTGCAAGCTTTGTTTGATTGGATCGATAGAGGTAACCGTCCAGTGGACCGGCAGGGCTGCAAGCAGCCTCCATCCTTCTGGGACGAGCTGATGACAGAGTGTTGGGACAGTAGTCCAGAGAAACGCCCCACAGCCAGAGAATGTAACCAAAGAATAGTCGAGGAATCAGTGGAAACTACTATATAAATAGGTTGATGTTAATCTAGTTACGTGTTTTGAGATCTTTCATAAAAGACACTAACAAGGCAAACAAATAAAAACAAGCGTACTTTTGATGGTGAGGGGAAAAAAGTTAAGGCTGAAAGCCTTCAATTTTCCAAATGTTAACCGCCAAGGAAAACGTTATAGCTATAGAACATGCAGATGTTGTTAACATGGCGTATTTGTAACGCTGTGAGAGTTGACTTGACTTTTGTATAAGCATCAGGATTATTGATGCGGGGCCAGCATTCCCGGGTAAATCGTGTTTTTCATGTTTCTTTTCCTTTTAGAAAACTGCAAGAATTAAAAGCACAATTTGGCTTGATCGCATAAAATTTTACTTTTTGGTACTTCTTCAAAGAATTTAAAAAGGTTCCTGTGAAATATTGACCTAAAGCAAACTGGACGGGTAGCCAGTACATTTACAGTTTTTGTCTTGTCCTTTTTCCTGACAGTTATTCATTAATGAAAATAAGCTAAGTAGTATAAAGACAATTACAAAAGTAGAGTAGTAAAACGGATGAGTTTTTGTTTCAAAAAAGACGAAGAAGAGGGCAATGGGGACTCCTGTGACAAATTATTTGTTTCCTATTTTTAGAGCAATAACAAGGCCTCCTGTTTTCAATCAATTCAGCTCTACATTGATTTCCGTGATTTTGCAATAACTGAGTAGTGTGGCAATAAATTTTGAATGGAATCTTCTGTTCCAGATTACTTTAACTATTTTTTAACTATTTGTTTATGAACTTGAAACTGATGGGTAAGACACTGAAGCAGCGCTAGAACAAGTCACTCATGTTGATGATACCCACCTCAGGAAATCTAATGTTGACGACACCCAACCCAAGGAATCTGATTTTGGGGACATCCATACCGGGGAATCTGTTGTTGGCGACCCCCACCTTTGGGATTCCGATGTTGACTACCTCCACTCTTGGAACTGATCTGATGTTGACGATACCCACCGTAGGGATATGTTAACGTCACCCACCCGAGGGAATCTGATGTTGACACCTACTCCGGGGAAATCGATGTTAACGTCACCCCAGGGAATCTGATGTTGACACCCACTCCGGGGAAACCGATGTTAACGTCACCCCAGGGAATCTGATGTTGACACCCACTCCGGGGAAACTGATGTTAACGTCACCCCAGGGAATCTGATGTTGACACCCACTCCGGGGAAACCGATGTTAACGTCACCCTAGGGAATCTGATGTTGACGCCGACTCCGGGGAAACCGATGTTAACGTCACCCCAGGGAATCTGATGTTGACACCCACTCCGGGGAAACCGATGTTAACGTCACCCCAGGGAATCTGATGTTGACACCCACTCCGGGGAAACCGATGTTAACGTCACCCCAGGGAATCTGATGTTGACACCCACTCCGGGGAAACCGATGTTAACGTCACCCCAGGGAATCTGATGTTGACACCCACTCCGGGGAAACCGATGTTAACGTCACCCCAGGGAATCTGATGTTGACACCCACTCCGGGGAAACCGATGTTAACGTCACCCCAGGGAATCTGATGTTGACGCCCACTCCGGGGAAACCGATGTTAACGTCACCCCAGGGAATCTGATGTTGACGCCCACTCCGGGGAAACCGATGTTAACGTTACCCCAGGGAATCTGATGTTGACGCCGAATCCCAAAAATCCAGCGTTCAAGGAACTTTCCCATAAGCAGTGTCCAACCCGGTGAATTGTACAGAATTGAGTGAATGAACTTTTTGCTATTAAATATTCTGCAAAGAACCTCTGATATATCGGTAAAAAACCCGAATTGAAATCAAAACGAGAACATGCCGTGAGGCAAAGGTTGTATTTTGAAGAGTTATTTACATTCACCCTAGAAAAAAAGGTCAGGCGAACGCAGTTGGCAACCAGCGAACTTTTTTTACTGGCCACTAACCCACGTCGAACCAACACTGAGCCGGGATTGAACAAAAAAAATGACTAAATAAAACAAATAAATAATTCATTAAAGTTCAACCCAAAACGTCCGTACATTTTACAAAAAAAAACAAAACAAACAAACAAAAACAAACAAACAAAACAAACAAACAAACAAACTTTTTTTGGCATATTTATTTATAAACCAATCTGTAGCAAAGGAAATTGACGCTTCAATTCGTATATCTTATTTTCTATTTTACTATTAATGATAACACTAATCACAGTGAAAGTGATGCGTTCTTAACCACCTCGGGAAAACAAGATAGCCATTTCTCTCACAAAAAGGAATCGCATAGTGGCATGTTAGACCAATTTTGATACATTATATATCATACTTGACTTGGAGGAATAACAGGGAAAAAAAGTCTTATTGATCCCTTAACCTCCACTGAAGGAAGTGATTTCTCGCGTTTCATTTTCCCAAGCCTCGGAGCCAAGTACGAATGTTCATTTGTCGAAATTGGTCTAATTAACACTCAACTAACACAATAACGTTAAGCTTAATTTGACTAATAGGTTTTAAAAAAACAAAACGTCACTGAGCTACAACAGAAATCTTCAACTATAATTGAAGGCAAAGCAGCTAATACGAAATATGTTTTCTTCTTGACATTTGAACAGGAAAGTACGTTTTTAAATCGCGGGTTTCTTTTTAGGCTGAAAAGGAACATGCAACTACTTGCAATGGAATGTGCTTAATAATAAAGCATGCTTAATTGATAAATTTGTAAATTTATTAAAGTTTGTCTGTACATAGATTTCCGACTCACATCAGGTTGAAATAACATGCATGTTCAGCAAATAAGTTTTGGACTGTTTCTCGAATTCCACCACGTGTTTTTGTGTTTTATGACTTAATCAAATTTTCAATGGCGGGATCCAGGGGGGACATTCCAATCAAAAACTCTACAAGTCTATGGAATATTTCACCACACAATTCCCATTTCAGCCTAGGATTAGACCCCTTTAACAGAAACGTTTTACACAACAAAACATCAATTTTCCTAGGTATTGATGTCTAAAGATGTACATCTCTTTAAATATATATAAGCAAGGAATTATATTTACCTATTTCTTATTTACAGCTTAGTTTTAATATGTACAATTCAGAAATTCAAAGCTTTATAACTGCCCAATATAGTTACTCCAAATCACAGGGGCGATCGTATTATATAATATAAATTGTTTATCGACTGACAACCAAACATATTAACACAGACTTAATTCATAAACACTAGCTTAACTGAGACCCACGTTAAGGTTTTCTCAGACATAATTTGTGATAGGAGACTTTAAAAAAAAATTATAAGTAACATTGTCGCTTAAAACACGCCTTATCAGGTTGACGAAAGGTGCTTTCTTACAATTAATCAGTACTTCAAGTAAGAGTTTTTTTCTCAGCATAAAGCGTAGAAACAAAGAAAGGACGTGACCCACTCCACAAAATATCCAATTTTGAAACTTCCAAAGCTCAATGCCTGAAATGGAACAGTTTGTTTCTGGTCTTATTTTTCCAAAATTTCCTGGAATTTTCCGCTGAACCCAATTACGTTAGGAGAAATTTTGGTTTAAAGTTTCGCTTTCAAAATTTAGCCGATTTCAGTTTTTTCTAAAAAGCTTTCACGTCTTGGTTTTGGTCTTTTCAAACTTGCCAGAATCATTGGTGGAATGGATCGCGGACAAGACATAAAGGACTAACAGCAAAAATGCTGCAAAATAACATAACTGGCTAATAAACACTCATTTACTAGATATACTGGAATACGAAAAAAGTGTGTTAAGCGTGAATAAATTGCAAAAAATGGAGCTGATGATCTCGATGACCTACTCGAATACACACGGTGTAGACGATTGTGCTAGCGCACGAAACTCTAACTACAAATTTGTTGGAGTTAATTTTGACCCAACATATCTAATCATTGGAGCAGCCAGACATCGCAACGGGATAACCAGCCTAACAAAACAGCTGGCATTCCGCGACGTCAGCACTGGTTTCCCCGCGAAATGGCGTCTGAGGAAACGGCGCGGAAATATTCAATACCGATGACGCGTCACTACCCAGATGATTCTGATTGGTCGAAGCGAATTTCCCTCGCAGCACAACCAATCAGAAGCACTGGTAAGATCTCTCTTTTCTTAATTTGAGTTTCAAAAGAAGACGTGAAACTAGGGCGAACGACGTTTTGTCTTGTAAATACAATACACAAATTAAGGTATTCGTCCACTTTACCAGGAAATCTCAATTTTAATTTGTTTNAAATTTCCTGGAATTTTCCGCTGAACCCAATTACGTTAGGAGAAATTTTGGTTTAAAGTTTCGCTTTCAAAATTTAGCCGATTTCAGTTTTTTCTAAAAAGCTTTCACGTCTTGGTTTTGGTCTTTTCAAACTTGCCAGAATCATTGGTGGAATGGATCGCGGACAAGACATAAAGGACTAACAGCAAAAATGCTGCAAAATAACATAACTGGCTAATAAACACTCATTTACTAGATATACTGGAATACGAAAAAAGTGTGTTAAGCGTGAATAAATTGCAAAAAATGGAGCTGATGATCTCGATGACCTACTCGAATACACACGGTGTAGACGATTGTGCTAGCGCACGAAACTCTAACTACAAATTTGTTGGAGTTAATTTTGACCCAACATATCTAATCATTGGAGCAGCCAGACATCGCAACGGGATAACCAGCCTAACAAAACAGCTGGCATTCCGCGACGTCAGCACTGGTTTCCCCGCGAAATGGCGTCTGAGGAAACGGCGCGGAAATATTCAATACCGATGACGCGTCACTACCCAGATGATTCTGATTGGTCGAAGCGAATTTCCCTCGCAGCACAACCAATCAGAAGCACTGGTAAGATCTCTCTTTTCTTAATTTGAGTTTCAAAAGAAGACGTGAAACTAGGGCGAACGACGTTTTGTCTTGTAAATACAATACACAAATTAAGGTATTCGTCCACTTTACCAGGAAATCTCAATTTTAATTTGTTTGTTTGTTGTTTTTTTTTTTCATAATTTTAACAAAGTTGAACTTCTACACTCAGAAAACTAGGTAAGACCAGACTCGATAATATATCTTTATCTTCTGATTTAGCTGACAAATTTTTACCCTGAAATTTTCTTTGTTTGTGCTAATAAAAAACTAAGCTAGACGCAAAGGGAACAAATAACTAAAGAGGATAAATGGCGTGCCTCTTATATGAACTTCGTGCAACTAAAGGATAAATAATAAATAATGCGATTATATTCTTAGTTACCGTTTTTATATAACAAACTCAATACGATTACATTAAAACCAAACTATATACCAAATACCCAATTCCTGTACTCTTAGGTCGCATAATAATATCCACACTCTATATAAAATTAAACCACTCTGTTTAATGCAAATTACTTACTAAATAAATGTACATATACTGGGTTAGAAAAAATTATTGTATTTCGAACATACAGCCCGCTGATGCCCTAATTTGTTAATGACAGAAATTTGAAAATAAAAGCACTTCCGTTCAATCCATTTTATTGGGATACTGGAACTACGAAAAATAATTTGCGTCACAATCATTTTTGTATAACTTACAAATCATGCAAGCTTTTAACGGTGAGAGGTAACCGTTGATTGTTGCGACTCAATGTTTTTGGTTCAATAATTACTCTCCTTTACTAGTTTCATAATTTACATTCTAATAATACACAACCAACAAAGGAAAATAATTCTTGAACCAAGAAAATAAACATAGCAAAGAACCACAACATGAGCAATTTGGAGCTTCTGTTACACAATTCGCCAGCGATAATGGTCGCTTATTGGGGGCCACAAAAATGGCCTCATATTTCAAATGACAACGACTTCTCGATTTGCACTCATCCGTTTTGTCGATAACAGCTGAACTCATCCAGCATCGTGTTATCGCCAAGACAGATTAAGTGCCTGCATTTTATGAAGCCTATACTATTTTCTGTCTACTTTTTGATAACGTGAATAAATTAAATTAAATAATTTATTCCACTTCACATATTCACAATGTGATAAATTAGACTTTTAACTGGTTAGTTTTATAACTTAAGCAGTCGAACTTATACGTTACCACGAATTCCTTTGATAGTGGGGGTTCAACTCATTTCAATCAAGATTTCTTGACTGACAAAATCTCTTGAGATTGGAAGGAAAGACGAACATCTCCTACCCACACTGAATTATCTTGTGCTGCACCCCCCTAAAAGGAAGGGTCTTGGTGTGGGGACCGGGGAAGGCCACTTCAGACGGTGATGGTCTAGACAATTAAAATCCTTCACCATAGAGGAAATTTCTTTCACCCACGTTGATCGCGAACCAAAGACCACAATTTTTAGAGACCGTGCTGTCATGTTATACGATGTCACCGTCAGACAAAGGAATAACTGGTCTCCTCTCATCATCATCCTCATCATATTCTTCAGTTTCCTGATTATCATAGTTGATGTTATTAAAGTCTCTGTTAATATTTCCTTTAAATATAACCGCCCTCTTGCTTTGCTTGCTGTTTACCATCATTGCTTTGTCGTTTGTTGTTTCATTGTCAACGGTGTATACAATTCTGAAATCAAATTTGAAAACGTATTAGATAAGTGTCATGGAAAAATTTGAAGAACTTCCTGTTTCCTTTTTCTTTTCGTTTTACTTCCTGTTTCCTTTTACTTCCTGTTTCCTTTGAAGAACTTCCTGTTTCCTTTTTCTTTTTTTCGTTTTACTTCCTGTTTCCTTTTTTCGTTTTACTCCCTGTTTCCTTTTTCTTTTCGTTTTACTAAGATCAAATGAAAGCTAATGCGCAGTACTTTCCCGTGTCAATGCTTTTTTTAGCCCCTGAGTGAAAACCAAAAGAAACTTTGTGACCATTCAAGTGAAAGCTATTGAACAATATCGTACATTTCCCGTGCAACTCAGCTTTATTAATAACACTACAAGGTGGGTTATAGGTTGTGAGTCTGTAGATGTAACCCCTAAAGGAAAAGGAATGGTTCTGTGAGCAAGCGGCAATTTTTTCTCCACAGATTTCCAAATTTTTCCCAAAAGTTATTAATTCCTTGCAAGAAAAATAAGCCTCATTTGTATTGAGGGCCTTTTTATTGACTTACTGAAGTCGTGGTGAACGCTTTTTCCTTGCAATGACAACCAAGACTACACATACAGTGACAATCACCACGAAAACACCGGCCAGAATTCCAAAGATAAGTCCAAAATTTGGTTTACTCTCATCTGAGCCAGTCTGTTTGTCAACAATGTTCACAGACGGGTTTGATGTATTATTCACAATAACAGGTGACAGACGAGTTGTTGTTTCTTTAACTGCTGACTTTTCAGTTGAATTTGGAGGCGAGGCTATTAGGAAGAGGAGAAAATAGTTAGTGACAAATCTAATCGGCTATAGTATGGTAAAAAGAGGAGAAAACAGTTATTAACAAATCTGATTGGCTATTCGCCCCATATAAGGGAATCCAAGACAGTCTTGGATTCTGGATTCCACACTGAAAGTTCCGGATTCCAGGTACTGGATTCTAGAATCGTTGTCGGTGGAACTTAGAATCCGGGATTCCGGATTCCCTGAGCTGAATTCTGGATTCCAAAGCCCAGGATTTCGGATTCCACAGCAAAAAATTTCCCAGATTCCTGATTTCCTTAGATGTGGCGAGGCTATGGTTTGCTATGACCATAACGCGACAAAGCGGGGCAGAGAAAACCAATAAACTAATACTGTGAGTAAGTGAGTGACTTACTTTGGTTACATGTTTTCCCATCCACTTGAAGATAAAGCCCGTTTGGACAGCTGCAGCTAAAACTCTTGCCTTTGGAAAGCAGGCAGAGGTGAGAGCAATTTCCGTTGTTCTTGGAACAAGGATTAACAGCTGAGAAGAATAAAATATAAGATTTTCGTTAATGACATTTAACACTACCACATTTCAACTTAAATCCTATGGTTGGAACCTTTTTTTTTGGCAAATGATTGGCGTTTAAGTTTACAATGAACCCAGAATATCAAATGGTTAATTTATAGTTGTTTTAATAGCGTTTTGAAAGCGATCTTCACTTCTCTTACCTTGGGGCTGTCTCTGTGGATGGTAAATGTGCAGATCCTTGGGCGAAAAAGCGTCTTTCACCAAAACCGTCACGTTCTTCCCTGTGAACTTATTCGCTTTGTAGATTTTCTTTTCATCGATCCAGTACATGTGATCTTCAAACAAGGTCACTGCCGATGGATCCTTGATGCCCTGGTTCACCACTGGACGGACTTTTGATCCGTCTAAGTCACAGTGCTTAATGACTTTCAGTTTAGCATCAATCCAGTAAAGTTTCCTGGTCGTATAATCAATCGCTAGATCCACTGGCCATTCAAGATGGACACCGCTGATTAGGATTTTGCGGTCGCTGCCGTCCATGTTTGCGCGTTCAATTTTCGCGGGGTCTCCCCAGTCCGTCCAATAGAGAAGCCTTATGGGACAGAGCATAACAAATATAAGTTTAAAATGATGAATATATAAATTTCATTACATATACGTTTCTCAGTTTGTTGAGTTTCAGATTCGGATTGTGATACATAAGATAATGGGCTATTCAAATAACTCTGCACAAGTCGGTTTTATTCTAAACCTCTGCATGGACTATCTCTGTAAGACCCGCATTAAAATATAAAGGTTGAAAGTCACAAAAAGCATACTAGCAGTGAATTTAGTATCCAGCTAGTTGACAGGCATCCACCCAAACAACTGAAGACAAATCATCCAAATAGAACATGACACGGTTCATAGTATAAACCCCATGCCAGCCGGTAGGAGGCAACAGGTTGGCTGTTTAAAAGTGCGCGTGGAAGAGGATCTAGACTATTCTGGGCAATCAAGAGTAAATTCAGCAAGTGGTCAGAATGAAACTTGAACCAGGCACCGCCGGAGTGCGAGATCAACTAATCGACCACTGGTCCAGCCTCCGTAACTTTCAGGTGAAAAAAACAAAATTATACATGTATGATATAAGCCAGCCAGTCTAGAGTCTACGCTCTCACCCTTCAGATGGATCCAGAACAAGAGAGCTTGGCTTCTCAATACCGCCTCTGATCAGCGTGCGACGAAAGGAACCGTCTAGCTCTGACACTTCGATTGAATCTGAGTAGAACAAACAAGACAGAGCTTTTAAGTGAAAGGATATATTTTCTCCTTCTGTTCCAAATAGCGAGGAACGAATAATACCTTTAACTGATACGTTGAGTTACGTGAGAAAGACTGCTCGACAAAATATAATGAGGAAATAAATCCAAATAAAATAAAGTAATACACGATGAAATGAAACCAAACAGAGGAGAGTGTTGGCTACTGCTCAGCTGTAGTGAAATGTTGGTAAGGAACTTCTGCCGGCACGCACTTAACATATAATGTATCTACGACATACAACATTCAACCGGCGCCCCGTCGTGTTTTCCGTCCTAATGGCCTTGCTTATATCTTTTGCGCACCCAGTCTGTTTTTACAGCTCGACCTGTGAATACCTCTACGGTGCTACTCAGATTGCTAAACAGAGTGAGCTTAACGAAATATTACGCGTACCTTGACTGGCCCAGTAGATCTTTCTCCCGACCCAGTCCACTGCAATCTTTGATAGGCGCTCCAAACCCTGTTCCATAACATTGATAATTTTCGAGGAGGTGTTTGCACCGATACGGGCACGTTGTATCTTCTTCTCTGACTGTTCTGTCCAGTAAATCATGCTCGTTTTGATGTCAAAGTCCAGCGACACGGCGTTCTTCAGTCTTGCTACAGCATCTTTATATTCCGAACCATCTGTCTTTATTTGACGAATGTTGCGGAGGTTGCTGAAGATGAGCGAAGGGCGTGGACCTAACAGTAAAAAAGACAAGTTTTAATTAGAGAACTCATTAAGCAACACCAAAGTGATATAATAAACGATCAAGTGTTTCTTAGCAATTGAAAGTAATGTGGTTAATTGGTTTTAAATTGTCAGCAGGTTCAAGAAGTGAGGTACTGTGGACCTCCAATTGCCTAAAAGATAAGGATCATATTGGCTTGCAAGAAAAATAAAAAGCGTAATGAAGTAACACAGAAACGCACTTTCTCTGAACCTTTTTTGGATTTCATCGAGGCAGGAACAAACGTTACAATAATAATCGGTAAAATAATAACCGTAGCTTTGCAAGTTAAAAAAAAAAATTTTAATAACTACCTTTCGCACGGCATTTTCTGCCATCAGGATCCAACTCGTAACCTTCAATACATGAACACTTAAAGCTTCCTTTGGTGTTGTAACAACCCTGACTACACATTCCTGGTATTTCACACTCGTTAATGTCTGGCAAAATAGAAACGAGGACATCGATGGTCAACATTCATGACGGATAACGACAACAAAACTGAAAAATATATATTGCTTAGAAATTAGGCTTCTACTCAGACGATGTTAGGGACTCGTAATGCGTTCCTAATTGGAGCTACATTACAAGCTAAGGATTTTTATTAAAGCATCACTGCTTTATTCTCTGAAAATGCAGCGATCTTTTATGCTCTGGTACACACCAACTGGAATGGTTTCCTTTTACGCAGGAAGGAAGATGCATGTATACAGTTGACGGAGGCTTAACATTTTTCGACTACCTTGAACGCGGCTTTCACACAGGAGTTTTTACATGCCCAACTCGTCACACTATCAATAACAGCTTACCGTCTCTAAAACATTTTAGGTATGGACTTGAATGCTAGTTTCCAGACGCTCACCTTGACAGCTCCTTTTATCATCGGCAAGTTCGTAGCCTGTGTCACATGAACAGTAGTACCCACTCTTCGTGTCGTGACAGGTGTGGAGACAGTGGCCGTTGAAACTGTCGCATTCGTTTATATCTAAACACAAGTGAAAGAAATTCATTATGTTTTAGATCTAAATCCATTCATCTTCAGATTATATCGGCGAAGACTTAACTGATTAAGTGCTAGTTCAAGATCTGCGTCACGTTTTCCTGGGTTTTTATGGCGCAAGTTTTGTTGTTGTTTTTGGTAATACACTTTCATGGTTTTTCCGGGATGGTCACTACCAAAGGAACAAATAAATAATACTCCCCTTAATCGTCAAAATAAAATATTGGGTATTAGTTAGTGGCATTGAATCTTATCTAGAGAAAATATGAATCCTTGCCAAGGAGAAAATTAAAGTGATTAGCCTGTCCGCAGGCGTTCAGACAGTGGGTATTGCTCTGGGAGGGAAAGGCACGAAGCGAGATTCGATCCAAAGTTAAACTCTCGGAAAGGTAAGAATGCTCACCAGAGCTGAAAAGAATTCTTGCGTGGCCTCTTCAACAATCACATCCCCTCCCCCCTACCGCTCATGGCCCAGGGACGGGGAGGGGGGAGGGGAAGTTCACGGCTAGTTGCCAAGTTCTTTTGTACTTACCGCATTTGGTTTCATCCTCCCCGTGGGTGCAATCTGGGTGTTTATCACAGACTTTACTGTCATCAATGCAGGTGGTGCTGCTGCCACAACGAAATTGACCTGGTTTACAGAAAGTGGAGGGCGTGGTGGCTGAAAGAAAGAAAGCGGGTTTGAACCGATCATTTAAACGGTTTGCGACAGTTGTTTTCTTACAGCTTGTGAGAGTACAGCCGTCTGTCACCATTCTTTCACTGCCCCCGTATCGCCCCATGTGAGGGAATCCAGGACAGTCTTGGATTCTGGACTCCACGTTGTGGATTCCGGATTACAATTACTGGATTCCAGTATTTGTCCGTAGAACTTGGCTTCTGGATTCCGGATTCCAATTGATAGTGGGATTCCGGATTCCACAAGCAAAAATTTCCCGGATTCCGGAATCCATTACATGTGGCGAGCCGCAATTGGAAGTTTGATATTGTAAGCAGCGAAAGCCAACTATATACCAAAGCTAGGGTTTTACTAATCAGCGTCTTGCCGGGCTGTCCTCAAGACAGAAAGCTCTCTTAGTGTCCTCATAATTACGTTTTGATGACAAAAGCTTTGACGCAAGTTTTATCTTGTAACGTAAGCTAAGCTGGCGATAACTTCGTACATCAGGGGACTACTTTTTGTACCTAGACTACGTCTGACAAGTCCCTGATTAAATTAAGGCTTACGTTAATAATGCAGGACACATTATTTTTCCATAACCAATAAAACCTAGCATAGTTTAACCTAGTTTTAACTTTGTTTTAAACTATTATTATTTTAATATTATCTTGTTTAACTTTTTACAAATCACTCCATAGTCTGCTTAACACAACATACACTACAAAGCATCTTTAATATTTATTTAACGAACTTAGTTTACCACTCAATCGAAAAGAATTTTTTTTCTCCGTAGATTTGCATGCACGGTACTTACGAGTATGGTTCTGAGGCGTTGGCTCCGACCGCGACGGCTTTAAAGTTGTTGAAATCGTGATCGTAGTTGTGACAGACGGGGTTGTTGGAGCTGGGGTTTGAAGACAGTAGCCCAGAAAAATTAGTACAAGTTCAGAATAAATTAGCATTAATTGAAGAAACAAGCCATGCTCCCCAGAAATAAATAAGTGCAAATGAGGCATAAATAATAGTCCAGGCTTATAGAATACCCGCGTTAGTATGGATTAATAGAGAACAGAGGTAAGTTAAAGAAAACCTTGCATATTCGTGAGAGCTACAAAAGTAGAAAGCCCAGCAAATTGACCAAATGCAATGAAAAAGGAAAAAACGAACGACAAACAATATGGAAGACGCAAAACTTGAGTTATTCAGTTGGCGGATTTCAATATATTTATATAGATATTTGCGCCTTATAAGTTTTGAAATTAAATTGAAATTTTAATTACTATGTTGATTTGTTTATTTCAGTAAAAAAGTATCCGCAAGTAGCTATTTTGCCGATAATTGTGATTACTGAGTGTTAATTAAGATCAAGGTTAGACGACATGTTATGTGTCGGTATGGGCTACTGTCTATAGGTCAATTTAATTTAACTTGTTATGTTATAAATCAGCATTATAGATGAATAGTGATGTTACGATCTTACTCGAGAAACGTTTTAAACTTTTTTCGCTCGCCGCGGCCAAGAAAGAAGTTACAATGATGTAAATTAAATTAGGAGAAACTCTCTAAGCTAAAGTACCGTGATTTAGCACGCGTTATTAACGGTTTAAATTATTTTTATTGGTTTTAGGTATTGTTTATTTGAGTGATTAAAAAGTTTGTTTTATATCTAATCATTAAATTTACGTAGGATGAGATATTTGTTTATTACTTTTAACAAAATACTCTGTGTTTAGCCATTCTACTCTCGTGTCATATGTAGTGACAATAGATGACGTAAAAATTCAGCAAACTTTACTTACGACAATTTCTTTCATCGCTCTCATCACCACAGTCATCGTTACCATTGCAACGTTGAGAGGCAGGAACGCACCTCTGATTTCCACAAGTGAATTCTTCAGGCGTGCAGCCCACGTTTCCTGAAATTTTTCAACAACCAATGTCAGGTCAAGAGACTCAGTGCAATACTCTTCGACTGCAATAAGTGCGCATCATGCCTACCACATTGAGATTCGTCACTTCCGTCATTGCAGTCTGCCGCTCCGTCACAAATCCATTTGGTGTGAATACACTTCCTCTTATCAGCACATAGCCATTCGTTTCTTCGACATTTGGGTGGGGGTGGCGTAGGTCTAGTTGAAGCTATGAAGAAAGAAATATTTAAAATGAGAACACGGTCACGGTGGTCCGTCTTGGACACGCTTTGATGTAGAAAGAAGTAAAGATTCACACACAAATTCTCCAAACTGATCTCTATACATTTCTTTTAAGATTAGTTGAGAGAATTTGGTTTAAGATCAAAGTGTTTTCCCTTTGGTTATCAGTTTAGTAATTCTCATAACTTTTACTCTTGTTATCTGCTGATGTTGTTAGGAGAAAACTGATGTTGGTCACTCTTGGGACCTAAAGGGCTAAACGGAACACTAGGTAACGTGGTACAAATTTACGTTTGCCGTTTGCTGCAAACTTAACTCTAAATCTCTCTACGGATGTTATTATCACCAGGCCAACTGTTCGACATAATTGATTCTTACTTGTAAAGTTGCATCCTAATTCATCTGACCCATCTAAACAGTCGTCCCTTCCATCACAGCGGTACCGACCACGAATACAGCGCCCACTCTCCACGCAGCGGAACTCGGAAGGATCACAAGTGGCTTGGTCTACAATTGTACAAGAGAAATAAAGATTTTAACGATCATTTAATAAAATGAAATGAAAGAAAATTAAGAAAATAACAGAGACTTACGGCAATTTTTCTCGTCACTTCGATCGCCACAGTCATCCTCCAGATCGCATTTAAAATCTAACTGAATACATCTGCCATTCTGGCAAAGAAACTCGTTAGGTGAGCATGTGGCTAAAAAAGAAAGAAAATGAAATTAATTACCTGAACTGCCGTTTAGAGACTTAACTGTTTCTGGCTACTCGCAACGAGTCGCAAGAAAAGAAAAGTCGGTGTTTCACATAGACCGTAAGAAATGCGCGGATATAAAAAAAACACAGTGCAAAAACAATAAAATGGCGATTCATCCCAGCAACTTAGAAAAGAGCCGACAATAATAGCGACGCCACCAGTGGTTTCCCCGAGAAATGACGTCTGAGAAATGAGCGCAGAAATTCCACACTGATGACGCGTCACTACCTAGATCTATCTGAGTAGTGCTTCTGATTGGTTGAAAATTCGCTTCATCCAATCAGCGTAACACTACCCAAATCGGAGCACTGACGCGTCATCAGTATAGAACTTCAGTGTTCTTCCCTTGGAAATCAGTGGTGGCGCTTCAGTTCTCAGGCTACCGGCCCAGCAACCAAAACTAGCAAGGAGAGTTCTTCTTAAAGATCTTCATCTATGGGCGCGCGGGTCCTCTTCACTCGCGGGTACTCAGTACCCGCGAGTCGCGAGCGTCGCCGTTTTTTTACAATGCAGGCTTCACATGTTACAGTTATTACAGGTGAACCACAACAGCCACCTTAAGGGACAGAAGAAAGTGATAGTTGTAGAGAGATGGCCGTTGTAGAGAGAGTTTCTAAACAAGAGTCAATGTATGGAGTGTCCGCCAAAAAAGGGGCCATTGTAGAGAGGTGGCCGTTGTACAGAGGTGGCCGCTGTGGAGAAGTGGCCCGCGTTGTGGAAAGGTGATAATTAGTAGAGGTTCGAGTGTAGTAGAAAATACTTACGAATAACGCAGTTCTGTTCATCGCTGTTGTCGCCACAATCATTCTCAGTGTCACATCTTAGTCTGGCGTCGATACAATTCCCATTTGCGCAAGTGAAGTCGCCGCTGCTACAAGTTTGCGCGACAGGTGCTGAAATTAAATAGAAGTACGACAGGCAAAGAATTAGCTCATAACAAAGATAAGAAAATCCAAAAAGCAGGTGCCGATTTAAATGCGAGCATTTTATCAGTTTTTGATGAAGGAAGTGCTAGTGAGCCAGTTGCAGATAGAGAGCTTCCATGTTGATTCAAGGAGAGTCGGGTAGCCAGCGCTCGAACGAGGACCCAGCCACTTTTCACAGAGTGTGCTTTATCACAATTATTCAACTGTGCTGCAATGTTAATACTTACGACATCGAGGTCCGCTGTCAGTAGCTTCGTCGCTGCCATCTCCGCAATCATCAGCCCCATCACAGACAAAGCTGGTGGGGACACACTTGCCATTATCGCACGTGAATTCTTCAGTTGGATCACATACCTGTTGGCCTGAAGCGGATAAGAAAAGGAGAGGTGAAGCATCAGCGTCTCAAAACTCTTTTGCTAATATAAAAGACCGCCGGTTTAGAGACGAGTATGGCTCTGAGGGCATATTAGGCCTACGTAGCAGGTGCCGGTTATTTTATTTTTTTACAGGCCGCGCGAGGGGAACACTTTTCTCCCCTCGCCTGCAGGCTAAGGGCATATACGGTAGGAGAAGGCTCGGAGGTCGAGCGGGGGAGGGAGGGGGGAGGTTTTGGAAGACCTCCCGTCGGAAGTTTGAACTGCAGTTCCATAAAGTTATAGAAGATGGCAGAGAGAACGAAACACAAGTCACCACAAAGTCTGACGATTATTTATGTATTCTTAACTCTTCTAACGTCTCCTCAAATCGCAATGTTAATATACACAAAATATATAAGACTAGACTGGATTTAAGGGAAATTATGTCACAAAGCGAAGATTCTTGTCGAACTGGAGAAGGTGTGTTCAGGTGTTTGAGAAAATTAAGAAATTTAAAACTCAGAAAGATTGATAATTCAGTTTTTTAAAAAAAATTTGATTAAATCATACGAAAACCAGAAGTAAGCTTAACCGAACGATGAAACTTTTTTGAGTCCTTGCACTTGTACGATTAATTCCTTTCTCCTCTTTTCTATTAAGGCGAGCGTGTTTAATTTTGCAGCATACACAAATTTTTTCGTTAACCCGTTGCCGTCTGAGGAGAAAGATATTTATTCACCTTGTTCACTTGTGGAGGGACGCTGTAAGCCGTTTTTACACATTTAGCGGGGTTGTTCATATAGAAAACTGACTTTGTGATTATCTTCCTTTTCGAAGAACTATCGAACTCCACTTTTTGTTCAGCCAGTGTTCTAACTGCCAAAGCAAAGCTTACAGACTTTTCATCTGTGGTGAATACGACTTGTTTTAAATTATGTAGGTATTTATTCACATAGTAACTTTTAACAAGCACTCAATCATGACCTGAAGTTCGTGCGGCCTTTCATGCCATTCAACTTGTTGCGTGTCGCCGCGTTTCACGCCGTGCGTGGAATTCTCAAAATAACATCGCCGTGGTTCTCAGTGACAGCAACATTTAAGAGCTAATGTTTTAAGTTACCAGTACCTAACATTTCTTTGGTTTAAAAGGATTAATCAGATGGAGATTGTTTTGAGAGACCATTCTTCTGTCTTGATACACAAAGGCCATGCTCCAAATTCCGCACCAAGCTCTCTGAGGAGTTGGACCAAGACGGGGTTACAAACACAATTAACAATGCAAACTTTAAATCCCAAGGATAACATATTTCTTATCTTTTATCGACTGATCAGCACATACATGTAAACAGCAGAAATAAATTCTTGTGAAAAACATATCTTAGAAAGGTTATCACATCACAGCGCCAAGTTTTCACAATCTCGTTAACAGTATTTTGAAAGAAATACATCTTTGTCTTTCCATTCAATAGCCAATGTAAATTTCTTGAATTTTTGTAACAAACGATCCTAAAATAATTTTGAAACAAACGGCGCGCCATACTCAGGTGGTCAATATCGCCGACAACTAATACGTTACGCCATTTTAAAGCACAGTTCCCGGGGGGAGATATTCTCATAAAAAGGCAGGAGTGGTCGATCAATAACTAGCCTGTTCCAGGCTCTCAGAGAGTAGGTATGAGGCGCAAGTAAAAGGCAGCCGAAAATATGACCGCGGGGAAATTTCCAAAGAAGGAAAATTCACAAAGCTGTCTAAAAAGTACCAGAATATCGTTTTGTGCGCGTACATTTGGAACCTCTACGAGGTACCAACGATTGAACTCCACGTTAACCCACGTTATTTAACAATTAAACTACAGTGGATCTGAAAGTGGTTGTCCTTAAAAGTAATTAAGTTCACCCCCGTCTAAAAAGGGTGTGCCGATCGACTCTCGGGGTTACAGCACCAGCCATGACGAATTATTAGAATATGCATCTATCATTAAAGAGCAAAAATGATCCTTTTTTGGTTATGGGGATAATGTCCGATCATTTCATGACATGACAATTTTTCTAATCACGTGAAAAGTTCGACAGACGGCGATGGGAGCGAAAAATGAATGTTGCGCGACTCGGGTCGTCAGTTAGTCTCTGCAGAAAGCTTAGCTTAATAATTAAGAGAGAAAAAAAACCTAGCACAAGCGCACCAGATGAAGTCCCAGTAGTCAGGAAACGAAGTACAATGTTGATGTTTTGAAAACATTTCCGACATTTAGATTTTGTAAATCGATCTGCAGGCACTTATAAATAGAAAAAACGTGTTTGGTATTCATTTCATTTGTTTGATTTCATTCCTTTGTCACAAAAATGTAAACATTATTCCAAATCCCTGAATAAGTAAACTTTGTCTTTTATACACGTTAACTGTAAGGTTTTTCTAGAGATGAAAATCAGCTGTTGATGAGCTGATAACCAGTGTTTTAATACGAAGATATTACGCAACAGTTTGTATCTAAATTGCGTAGTCTTATTTTGAAACTACCGTCAGTGTATACTTTGCCACACCTTAATTAGAGATTGTCACGCGATTTCATACCGATCAGCCTCAACAAAGTGCTGTTCAGTCAAAACAATAAAAGACGAAAAGGGCTGGGAAAAATAGAATAAAAAAGAAATCATGAACTAGCTGAGCATCAGCAGCACACTAGGCGTTAAAAGACAAACTCGCGTTGTCTTCAGCTTTTTGGAATTGAGTCTGCTGTTTGTCTACCTTGCGAGCAGAGGTTTCTTTCTGGCATGGCTTTTAGCATTTACGAAGTCATTCGCGTAGTTTGTGAGTCGTGTAGAAAGAAACCTCTGTGTGCAGGGTACTGTTAGTGGGTCTTTAGCTAATGTCCTAATGCAACAAATTAGCCTCAACACATCACGCTGTTTTTGTCTCCCCTTTTGGTTATTTTGATTTAAAGTCCGATGTAGCACGGCTATTGCTTTTTAAAACCTTCACTGACCTTCTAGTTTGGTTAATTAAAACTGCATGAGTGCATTATTGCCTGATTGTATCACTCGTGTCAATACGCATGACCTCACTGGTAAAGAACTTTATACTCTCCTGGGGTGTTTTGTTTTAAGGCAATGACAACGGTGTCATTGCCTAATTTATCACAAAACACAAGTTGAATACTATATATGAACTTTGTTGCTCGCAGGCTCTGTGTTGAGAAAAACATAACGACTGGGTTGCCTGCATGTTTATCTTCTCATCACCCCAGGGACATATTTTCGCAAGAGTTTTGTTAATGTAACTGAAGTGATTTTTCCAGGTCTGCAAACCAACTTGAATTCTGGTGAAAACTACTGACCTAGGCAGTGCCACAGCTGAAAAAGGCAACCAACAACCCTATATAAAAAAGAATTTGCACAAGACAAATTATAATCTCTAATGATGGTGCAATTATCTTCCTCCCTGACCCTCACGTCCAACGTGTTTAACATTCTCAATAATCATGAATGAAATGAAATGAATTGTTTCATATTGCTTTTGTTAAAAGAGTTCTTTAATTTGTCTTCAAAGAGGTACCAATTTTTTTCTTGGCAATTTAGTGAAGTGCACCCTTCGAATGTGGTATGTGCTAAGTACTAAAAAATGAAGTATAATCATGCAAGTACTGACCCTTTTTCAAGAGATCTTTGCACTATGAGGGCTTGGAAGAGCTTTTTATCAATCAAGAAGACATGGTCGACATTCTCTTGTGAAAACACATTTTTCGTTCTTATCTGCAGTGTTGTCTTTTTTTATGTTTTGAACCCTTGTTTTACTTCAAAACTGGAAACTACCCTTGTACAACCATCCTAAGCATAAGCTTTTTATCACTAGTGGCTTAATGGGTCTTTTTATGCTTCTTGCCAATTTTTTAATGCCCCTTATGTCATATGGTTTCGAACACACAATTGTTACCTGTATTAATAAAACCTGTTGAACTTGGTTTTTGTAGTATATGTGGCAACAAAAGTACATAGGCAGAGTGCAAAGAAAGTAGTGTCCGATAGCCCAGAGAGAGTAGATTTTGCTATCGGGCTAGTGAATTCTGTTTTTAACTTGCCCGAAGGGCAAGTGATGTATTTTGAGGAATTTAAATAACAAAAGAACTGTGCAATCAATTCTGCTCGTCGGAAAGCTTTTGGGGCTAGTTGAAATGATGTCTGGGCTAGTAAATGCTAGCTTCAGCTTGCCCGAATGGTTCGGGCAAGCTGTAAAAAGGATTTTCGTTGCACCCTGATAGGATGCTAAATGTAAACTAAGGACATTGACATTTTATAGTTCCAAACAAATTTTAGCTTTGTCAGCAAAAAAGGATCAACAGTAAATTTCAAGTTGACATCAAGGTTTAAATTTAATCTTTATATCACATGACTAGGAATGCATAACAAACGTGATGCTAATGATAAACATGTGAGGTGGGCATATTGGCAAACGGCTAGGATTCATTTAGAATTAGCTCACTCTCTGCAATAAGCTATATTTCATATGAAAAATCTATTCCTGAGACCTCTGTTGTGTCTAATCACACTATTAACAAGAAACGATTTTCTTTTCATTTCATTTTAAAAACTAATGCAGATTAAGTTCATAAACATTTATGTTGCACTTTGATAAATGCTAGAGATTAGTTTTGTAATATGCCTTAAGTTAATTCTTTTGTAAAACGCAGGGGATTCCTTTTGTACAGTTTTGTATACGTTTGCACATTCCTTCATTGTATATATACAAGAAAAGAAAATTAAGCCTAATGTTGCCTACGAGACGGTTCAAAACACATCGATCAAAACAAACTCTACAATGTAAACAAACTTTTGAGCCCTCTCAGATCAGAGGGTCTACTTTAAATAATATTTAGCTCTTCAACATTAATCACTACTTTGACGTTTACTGTCAGACAATATACCAACGTCTGGATAATTATAACGAAAGGAATGATCACAGTATTGTCAGTATTAAGACAATACTTTCGCTCGATTTCGTTTTTACTGCACGGTCTTTTGTACGGATCAAATTTCAAAGTTTCTTTATTATTATGGAAATTACAAGAAAATTACAACTTTTTCAAGTTTTTCAACGTTTATCTGGGCGAATTAGGTTAGAGAAACCGCAAAAACTCTTTTACGAGAGGTATTGCGTAGTTTAGTTATATGCAAATTACCGGAAGAGGTATTTCTGGCCAATCATTGAAAGCCATCTCGACACACCTACGATCTTCCCCTAAACAATGGCGGTCGAGTTAGGCCGGACGTGTAGCGAACATTTCAACGTGTAGTTATAAAACCAGTCATTACAATAAAATAATTCCTTTAAAACAGGAGAAAATTATTTCAATTGCAGTTTATGAAGGCTACTTTACGAAAAGCGAGTCACGTTTTGAGGGCCTTGGAAATTATTTCCCGAGAGAATTTCTATTATTTAAGCCAGTCGATGCGAAGACGTGATTGGTTCGTTAACTTTTCACATTGATTCTCGTATAAAACTTGTCTAGATTATACCTCAACTTCTACATCAATGATTTTCGATGTCTCTCGCAAATAGAGGAACAATATTGATATAACCAGAGACCAATAAATCTTATGTGCTTTGATGATAATTCGCGCTATTCAGTTGATGTTTAGTATTTTGAATATCAAATTACTAGATCGCCTCACGGAACAGGAAAGAAGAAACAACTTTAGAGTAAAACTTGCCATTTTCTCAACACATCGAAATGATAAAGAATTGACTTAACTTAAGATTAAAAAATACACTATAACTAGTCAAGGCTGGACGTTGGTTAACCTTCTACGATCGACCCATGTACAATAGAGAGCTTAATGCACATTCGCGGTCGAGTACAAAATTTCGATTCAAATAGAAAGAAGAAATAGGGCATAAATATTAAACTTACGGCATCCTCTTTCGTCTGAGTTATCACCACAATCATCTTGACCATCACAGTGCCAACTCAACGGAATACATCGCTGACTTTCGCATCTAAACTGCACTGAACTGCAGTTAAAACCTAGCAACGTAAGGGCAGGTACAGAATTAGTAGTTATCAAGAAAGAATGTTGTGGATTGTGGCTTTTTCTTAGCCCTTTAACGGATAAAATGAAGTTTCCATGAAAAGATAAAAGCAAGTCTAAATCTGACTTCGAAAAAAGAGTGCTATCTTGGCCTCAAATTACACTCTAGGGAGTGTTACAAAATCGAGGGGTGTGTTCGGAGGAGCGCCGACGTCGGTTTCAAACCTTCGTGCAATGTAAAATATTCATAGTAGCTATGTACTATAAACCCTGGACGTAGATCTTCGATTTCAAAACTGCTGTTGATTTTTAACATCGAATCCTAGTGAAAACTAACATTTCATTGCCCGCCATAAACTGGCCAAGCAAACAAACAGACTTTATAAAGCGAAAGTTTTGTTCAAGTGTATGCCACCGGCTGTGGCTTCGTTAAACGGTAAAAGTTCTTACGTTTTACTTGAAAGTTTGAACAAGTCTCTGGCATAAACTATCTCAAAAACTCCACAGAGAGTGTTGTTTTCAAAATCCTACCTGAGGCCGTTGTCTGATGCAACAAGACTATCCATAAGACTCCGAAGAAGCGAAGTGAACCGGCGCCCACTACCATATTTGATCCTTTCTGCCTCTCTATTGTAAAAGCGTGGTTTGGTGAAATTTGCATATTTTTCAGTGACGCGCGGCCTCTGGCTACTCGGCTGAGAATCACGCCACTTGACGTCATCGCGCGCCACGAACAGGTGAACAGAGCGTGGATGACACTCGATGACACTAGAAGGAACACATTTCAATTTGTCATAAAAAAAAAAATTGGGAGCAATGTCCCTCTCATTTCTCCCTGCATTTAAAAATTCGCTTCACTTTCGAACAGCTGTGAATTCGAAGCCATTTCAATGGTTTTTAAAGGTCAGCCAGTGCTAGAATTTCGTTCGGCATATGTTCATGTCTGCGCGATTACGCGCGTGAGTTACACGTAGCCACGTGCTCCTTATAGTGGACTGAGTGAGTGAGTTTTTTCTTCCATCGTTTCTTTCTCGCCTTTTTCGCGGATTGCATCAAAAATATAGAAAATAAATTCTTTTTCACGCTGCATTTGGTCAAATATATATTAATTTTTTCAAGCCCTAGCGGAAGAACGAATTAGACGTCTGCTCAAAAAAAGAAGGAAAAGTGTCAATTAGCTGCCAGGTGATAGGCAAATAGGAAATGCATGGGATAGTGAAATTATCATTTTACAAATTTTCTCTTTCGTTCAGTATCAATGCGGAAAACTGAAATCAAAATTAACGGCCTTTTCTCTAGTGCAAGCTGTGTCAGTATTGTCTTTTATCTTTTCGGAATATTTTGTATAGAAAAACAACTTTAAAAGAATTTTTTACGGAAAAAAAGTGAAAACAATAATATTTTACAATAACTATGAAAACACTGAACGATTGCCCGATTAAACGGATTTGATACGCATCTAGCTCGATCCGACGTATCATTGATGCTAAATGCTTACCGATCAATTCGCTATCGATCCATAGCTAGGCAATTTTGAAAATGTTTGACCATTTAATACTGAAGTTGAAATATACTAGATCACAAGGACACAAAAAGCTGGAATGTTGTGATACCTAGTCAGATTTGTCAGGACTTGAGGGTTTTTTCGATCGTCTGGCAGCAACTTGTCAGAGTCGGAGATGAGTAGTACTTGGCAGTTTGTCATTTAACGTCTGTCGGAAAAGCAAGACAGCCTTTGAACAAGTTCCTGTCAGTACACTTTCTGAACAGGATTTATATTACAAGACATATTTTAAATGTTTCATTATTTCCTGTATACGAAGTAAGCTTCACAAATATGTGTTGCTGTGAACGAAGTCCCGCAGGATATGCTTAGACCCGGCGCGACAATTCAGGAACTGCACCGGCTCGCCTCTCATAGGGATCATTTGAGGTCAAATTAGTAGCTGGGCTTTTTAGGTGCAGAGCTCTCCTGAATTTACTTTACATTCATTCAATCGTTCATTCATCAGATTCATTTATTTGTCATTTGTCGTTGTAATTTCATGTCATTTCATTGCTTGACAGTAAAGAGACTGCAGATTCTTTGCTGTCCGTTCAAGAACAAACATATCCGTGTTATGGGCGGATTTAGGGGTGTTCCGAGGGGATTGCCCCTCACCTCCGCTGGCAATATAATGAGGGGTGCTTATCGATTTCGGCCGATTTCATTGAAATTAAGTACAACTGAGAGAGAAACTGTTTAACGGCTTCCTTGAAACTCTGTACAATCATTCAGTTTGATTTCTGTTGCGTTTTATAGGTGTGATACTGAGAAAACTACTGAATTTCGGAACCCAAATGATGAATTCGTTGAGCTCAATTTTCTTTTAACTTTTAATTACAAACCACCAAATTATTAAATAGTTTCCGGATCAGAAATATCAGGTTCTACTTTCTAGACCATTCGACAAACAAGAAACAGAGTCCACCAGTCGCCTCATGTAACATGGAATCTAAGACAGTTTTGGATTCTGTCCACTTCTTTGTCAGTGGAACTAGGATTCTGGATTCCAAATTTTTAGTGGGATTCCGGATTTCTTGAAGTGTATTTTGGATTCCGCGAGCAATATTTTCCCGGATTCTAAATTCCACAAGCAAAAATTTCCCGGATTCGGAATCCAGATTCCTTTACCAGTCCATGGGGCCCCTAGTCAAAAGACTGCTGTAAGATATAATGCCTCAGGCCTCAGTTTTGTATGGGGGAACTTTTCTTCATTAGACAGAAATCAGTCCGACGGAACCCACTGACCCTCTTCAATCCAAGTGTCTTAGATCAACAAAAAAATTCAAAAATTGAATAAAAAATAAACAAACTTGTTTTATGCAAATTACTTACAAAATCCCTGATAATCATGCTAACGGAAATTCTTTAACTTATTCCATTAGTTACTCAGTAGTACAATGAATAAAAGTGAAATTCAAATAAAACTCGCTCATATTTCTTTTTACTATTACTATTATTTTTTTTTGTTCAGCGCTCTATTGGTCTCTCGGTTCATTTTTTTTTTTGCACTTCATTTACCTATGTCTTCGTTTACGAACAAAAGTTCCACCTAACACATAAAGTAATAACTCTGCTCACTTCATTTCAAATATGAAGTAATTCATCGATTACAAACCCTTTGAAAAAGATCCTCAAATAATGAGAAATCGATTGTTACCAGGAGAAGATAAACAGATTAAATTACTTCCTCGGATTTTGAATCCCCCTCTATGCCTGAAGTAAAGAAATTGATTTCTGGCGGAAAAATAATCTGTCTTTTTAAAAGAAATACTTTTGGGTTTTTAGCACTCCAACCAGAAAATATTAACAGTAAAACGTTTCAGCAACACAAGGGATGTAGAGTGGTTTTCGTTTGAGTGTCGTAAAACCAAAACCAAAGTAATTACTCTGGCCAATCACATAGGACACAGACAATACATTGAACCAATCAAAACTCGAAGTAATTACATGTGGCTGACGCAAAGCGAAATTGGCTTTGGTCTTACTTCTGATTGGATGAAAAGGTGGCGCGAATCTTTTAAGCCAATCGCATCGTGTAGAAAGTGCAAAACCAATTACTTTTCGACACTCAAATGAAAACCGCTCTATTTGCAGTCGCTTGCATCACCAGAACAGTCCGGTAGTAGGTGATCATCTGACCTAAGCGGTCTCTCCGGCTGAATTTTCACATGATTCTCGATTTAATTTTCAGTATTTTATAATAAATTAAATGCAACCCGACAGCCGACTTTCGACTTTGCCAATCCCTCTTTGTTCAGTTCACCCTTGGTGTCAAAAAGTGAAACCCCTATCTGCTAACAGGTAGAAACAGTTTGGCTTCAGCACAGATGTTAGCTTTCACAGACAAATTATGATGTCAATCCCACGCATGCGACGCACCCACGCAAAATCGCGCGAAGGATTATATGGCACGCGCGCGTCTGTGCAACTTCTGCTCTTCCAACAAAAAAATATTCTCGTCCTTCAGAGCATGTTTCCCTGATGATTGTTGCTGGTAAACATATACTACAGGCTATAATATGGGATTTGGATGATTATAGTGTTCGTTTTCACTGAAATGCCCGAAAACGACGCCGGTAACTCTTTGCAGTGACTCAAAGTTGAAAGCTACAATACAGGGCGATCACCATGACAAAGCGGCAATGCTAAATATTTTGCAACAGCTTCGTCGCGTTTTGCCTCTCTCAATTACAACCTAGCATTATTGGAAAATCAACTCACTTTCAGAAAAACATGAGCTGAATTTTACCACTGCATGAAAAATATGATGTATGTAAATGAAAGTACCCACCAAGGAAACCAATACTTGACTAAAGGTAAAACAAGAAAATCATCTACCTTATATTTACTTTGGAAGAGCGTAATGTATTTTTAGCAATTTTCTTTTGCCAAAAAAAAAAACGCTATTAAATATTGATTGAAATGTGTAGTAATGTTTGTCACATGCTTAGTCATCAGGGCACGATGACGCATCAAGTTTTTTGATGAATATTGGCTGTCTAATTTCCCCGGTCTTACACACGAACGTAGGGCAGGAGCCAATTTCGGCTTCTGACCAACGCCAATACGTTGTTTATCATGAGAAGTTTTGTGTATCAGGTTCAAATTTTTAAGCTATCGAGGGACAAGAAACGCAAAATTAACAACCAAAAACGATATTTAAAATCCTTAGCGTAGTGAAGCCACTGGTATATATATCGCCTTATATATCGCACGATCGAACCTGAATAATAAGTGGTTACGTAACTAAAGAAATTTGCCGAAACTACCATCATCGAAAGCAGTACTTCGCCTTTCTTTATCAGTAAATCTACGTAATCAATATTATTCTTGCGATACCGATCGTGGCCCGAAAAAAGTCTGTATAGTTAAGAGAAGGAACTGATTTCTTTAAGTTCTTCTTGATGGTTCCAGGTGTTATATAGATGGAGATCATGCTGCAATGCAATACAGTTGATCGCGACAAAAGAGTACCGTATTGACATACCCTGGATCACTGGACAGGTTTTCTGCTTCATTGCTTAGTAATTATTAGGGACGTTACGAAACCCAGTATGACGGCAAAGGCAACGAAACGACTAAAAGACAATGGAAGGCTTAGTGGGAAGAACACCACCTCTGCAATGACGTGTATCCGGGTTTTTCTGTAAATTTCTTTGCCGTCGCTTCGTCAACTACGACGCGCCGTCAACTACGAGGCCTATTGACTTGGCCGAATATAGGTTTTTTTTTTAAAAAGTTGACTTAGAAACGGAAACGGCAAGGCGAAAAAAAGTTAGCTCTCTCTTTCTCTGTGACTGCAAGGTACTCTCTCATAATATGGTTCCAATCCAATTTCTGACTTTCAAGTATAAGAGTGCAGTTCTGAACGTGACTTGGCAGCTGTTTATCAAGATTTATAGGACTTTCTATCTGTAGTGTGCGCTGCCGTTAACAATTGCCTTTGACATACTAAAACAACGGCAAAAACGAAAACAACACCGGCGACGCATACACATAAAAACAAGGCGCCAGGACGAAGTACTGTACTTGACGTTCTTCAGTTAACGATCGATCTATCATTAAAAAGATTAACACTGGCGCGCTTGTTAGTGTACGATCAGTATGTGGACGTCCTTTATACGAGGAGTCTACACCAACAATCGAGTCTATCTAGGCATGTCCATACCATTTAGACAGTATGTAATCGAGTCCGAAATTGTTGAAGTTCCGATAATTGAAAGAGATGAGAGTGCAAAGAAGTTAATAAAATATACTTTCGGAAAACCAAAACGTCCAAACAGTTTCTGGATCGGCCTAGATCTCGTTTAAGTTTATTTCGATTTATGGAAACGCCTACGGTGCTCCCCAATAGTTGCTGTTGTTTTGCTGTTTAACTGCATTTAGAGTCAGTCTATGTAGCAAAATAATAACAAACTGCTTACAGTTTTTAAACATCTTAATTATAAAACTATCCACAGTCAAAGTAAACCTGTTGACTTTCTACTTATTATGAAATTACGATAAAATTGGTTGCGCATGCACAGGGGCATAAAATGTTTTGATCTCCGATGATGTAAGCGAGGTTTTGAAAGAACCATCGTTATTAAAGTTGTTCGCATTGATCAATTTATATCTGTTTGACTTTGCTATGTGATTAGCATATACGTATAGTTTTAAGGTCTCTCGCCATATCTGAACCAGTCAAAATGGACCAATCACAGTCGATTTTTTCGCGAATTCCGCGCGTGCGCAACTAACTTCCTCCTTGTTTCGTTTTCTTTGTGTTTAGACCGTTCGGTTTTGATTGGATAACGCAATTGTTTGTTCATCATAAATCATCAGACGGTGCTGCAAAAAAGGGAATACGAAACACCTTAATCAACTTTTTGGATACAGAAACAAATTAAAATCTGAGATCATTCTTAATGCACAACTGTCTCCAAGTTTACTTTGACCGCGTTGGCTCACTTTCCTGTGGACAAATCTATTAAAGGAGAATTTAAAAACAGGGCATTGTTTGTACTTTTAACCCAACTTAGGTCTGAAAACAGTTCTGGCGTCACCGTCGAAGTACCCTCTAATCATGAGAAAATCTTCACCACACTTTGGCCGAATATAAAGTCAATACCCGTTTCAAAAGCTTACTTAAATCCAATGTTGACTTCATACCTTGGATATTGTACAGGGCAAAGAGTGGGTTCTTGGCCCCATAGTGTGTATCAGTCATCCTAGAATATCGTAGCCGCTGACAAGGGTCCAGTAAAACCCACTTTCCGAAACACGCATGCGTTTAACCCCTGCGATAATTACACGGGCGGATTTCGAGTAACGCGACCAACATTAAAATTAAAAGTGTTAGCAAAGGAAATAGTCCGGTTCCAGCTTTTCTACAAACATTCGATGATGAAAGAGTGAGAAAATGCCCTTGACGATAGTCACTATTTGTATTACTGACCTGAAAATAACTTTGCAAGATAAGTGAATTTGTGATACAAAGTGTAATTGTTTTTATTCCACAACGTTTTTGACAAAATGTGATAAGAGAAATACTGTCCTGCTGTACCAAATGTTTGAAGTACAAGGGAGTTCAGGAAATTCCTTGATTACTTTCAAAAATGACCTACCCAGAGACAAAATTTACGCAAGGCTGCAAAGAACAGTCGATCATCGGACAAGTAATTACCCGCTTTTCTTTGTGTTTAGTGCAGTGTGGGTAGAAGCAGCAAATCAAACTTGATCCCTTTCTATCATCCACACATCCATTCCTGTGTGTTGACACACTCGCCTTTCTCTCGCATTCTTCACTATCCTCTTCTATCATCCTACATTTTCTTGGCACGCTCTCTTGCCTTGGCAATATCAATGTCTGATTGGGTGATCGTATGAAACACGTTATCGACGTCATAAATGTCATTAGGAATATTTTTGTTGGCTTCCCGGCGATCCTCAAGAGCTTGCCTCGACTCCACGCGATCACGATACCGCTGGGCAGCTTGCTTACGAATCATCCGACGATACTAAGAAAGAAGAAGTAGGTCAACTCCACGGGGAAGAAAGAAAGGCGAGTTATAGAGACCCCCATTCTAAGAAAAACGTGGATGTGCAAGGACACTTTTCAATTAACATTAGCCTGCGTGGCAGGCGTTTGGAGGGGAAAGGAAAGGGAGTTTTAGGCGCGAGATAAACGCGAGGGCCGGGGCGCGCGAGGAGGGAGGGAAGGATACGTCTGCCAGGAAACCATTGTTTTCGCCATCCCGCCTACTAATTATGTATGCAAAAATAACGCCACTGTGAATGACTAGCTGTCAAATAAGTCTGGCCGCGATACACTTATTTTTAGCTTTTGTTTTTCTAGAACAAGATATCTGAAGTGTAGGTACGTTCTATAAAAAAAGTTCAAATGCGGTCGTCCGTTGAAAAAAGAAAGTTGCAACGATGCGTATCTTGTTGTATAAAATCCAGCATAAATCTATTTACGTCGTTTGCTGAAGGAAACGTGCCGGACGTCGCAACTTGCATGCAATGTTTGTCTGAGAAAAACTTACAGTCAAGCCATGTCAAGCTTACCCCCCAAAATCCCACTAATAAATTTCTTATTCGAAAGTTGAGTCCGTTGGCAGTTGTAGATTTCAGATTCATCTTTACATTCTTGCATGCGTGATGAGCCGTGAATTCACACGCGTTTCAGTTACGAAATTTCTACCAGCTCAGTTTCCCTGAATTTGATGTAAATGTCTTCTAAGAATTTTAATTCATTCAAAGATTTTCAATCTGACCAAATACAGACAAGTTCTCGTAAATTATTCACTGCTCATTNAATTCATTCAAAGATTTTCAATCTGACCAAATACAGACAAGTTCTCGTAAATTATTCACTGCTCATTACGCATGCAGTAATTCCGATTTGAATTTGACACCAGTTACGGGAACGACTAACGGATTCATTTTACAAATAATCAATTCATTAATAGAATCTTGGGGGGTACGCTTGACCTGTTTTGACTGTAAAACACTTTGCTGGCTCTCGAACTGGATCCAGCGGAGCATACAACAGAACGCTGGTAGCGGGGAAAGGAGAGCTGAACTTCGAAGATCTACAAGAAAGTTGCAATCAGTTATTAAAGTAAGTTCCTGGCGGCTTTATAACGTCTTTAACCAACAAGACCAAAAATCGTTTTCAACAATCTGGTCGTTGATAAAGCGTAGCCTGCGTGGTAGGCGTTTGAGGTCAAACAGCACATAAAAAACACACAGACAGCATGATATTTCCTTTCTTTCTTCTATAGTGAGTAAAACAAGCCGTTGGGAGATGAGACTTCTCAAAACCAGTCAGTAAAACTCATCTAGCTGACAGACTTTTTCCTCCATACGGTTCTTTTAACTGTCTTCTTTTATTCTCCATTTCAAGCTGAAATTGATGCCTTCAGTTTCTACTTCTAACGATAAATTCCGTACAGACATCTCATCACCGCTTCACCAAGAAGATATTTTTAAATGATTACTGAAAGATCGATTTAGCTACTCAATAGCGTGATATTGATTTCAGCCAATCGGATTAAGGTATGAAGGCTGTGATTGACATGTTTTGAAGTCTGACCAATCTGGATTTTAACATTCGCCTGGTGGATGTTAAAAACGAGAAATACAATGGTCTCCCGGCAGGCGTTTCCTTCCCTCCCTCCGCGCGGCCCTCGCGTTTCTCTCGCGCCTAAAACTCCCTTTCCCTTCCCTTTCAAACGCCTGCCACGCAGGCTAAATTAACATGTAAAGTCAACATAGAGGGAATTTTCCCGCATTTTTTTTCGAACAAGGCAACGCTTTGGAATTTTTCGGCGCTTGATACCTGCGTCGAAAAACAACTTCGTCAACTTCGTCCCCAGGGCCCTCTCGTTTTCCAAAATGGCGGCGGCAGGAGCGTGGACAACCAAAACTTGCGCCGACACTAACTAGAAGGGGGCTAACTCACTACAGGAAGAAACCACTGTCTTCCATTCACTGTGATTATCCACAATCTTGGACAAAATGGGTGGAAAATTTGTACCCCCCCTCCCCCCCAAAAATCAAGGATGGGGAAATGGAGCATTCTGGCTTTTGCGCGGCTTAATCCTTGATTTTTTCTGTCCAAGATTGCAGCTAAAACAACATTCTTTATTGCATCTGCATCTATCCTGGAAGTACATGTCTGTATCGTGTCTTACCTCATTGGGTGATTGATAATGCGGGTTTTCATACAATGTTGAGCCACCAAAACTTCCTTCGAATACTCTAATGAGGTTTAAAACAAACCGAGGTCCTGAAATAACATGGTAATAACCAGTCAAGAGATAAAAATACAAGCGTTAAAGGAGCTGTGTCACGAAATTCAGCCAAATTAGGAAATCACAAAATGCCCGTTAAATTAAGAGAAACATAAAAATAACCGCTTAAAACTTTAAAGGAAGAATAAAATAACATAACAGAAACAACAGATGCCACGGATGGGCAAAACTGAAGAAGATTGAAACGGATTGACATTAGGGTTTTTGAAAACTGTTCAGCCTAACAGTTTTTCAAAGTTGATCCCTGCTGCTTGCAACTTCAAAAATAATGCTCAGGACTGGAGACATATTTTTTTGTCTCGGATCCCTGATTTTGTCATTTACATGTAATTTCTTTGCTTACTTTAAGTTCCATAGCGATTGAGGGCGAGTAATTGGCAAAATTAAACAAAATGAACTGGACTGCCCTGACACAGCCCCTTTAAAACCTCTATAAATATACAGGTGATCAGAGAGCATAGAATAAAGCACCATACCAATCTCTAGCAAGGATCCATCCTCTTCAACAATCTGAAAAACAGTTTGTTCGTCAATAACGTAAGACAGAAAAAGGACAGACAACCAAAATACTATGTTTTCCTTTGAAAGCTTTGAACTCTTCAAGAAAAAAAAAATTAACATATTAAAATAAATTAACATATCAAAATATTAAAATAATTCATGAGAGTGTATTTACCTGGAAATTTCGAAACCAAATTCTGTTGTCTTCTATTGAGAACGACAGAATGTGATCTATAAATGGTTTACTTTTGGGATGATAGCAAGGCGTGCTAAAAATCTGCAATAAGAAATGTAATGATGTCCAAACATGACCTCTAGGATTAAAGTAAAAAAAAAACAAAAACAAAAACAAAACAAACACCCAAATCCTTCACAAAGAATTGCACAAACCTGTGTAAACATTTCTTTTAGAAGTGAGTTATGAGCTGTTTCATCAAAGTGCTGCCAGGTAAAGAAAGAGAAAACCATGCTATATTTTTTATAGATAATAGATCTATACAATAAAATGTGCACATGAGCGAGAGGCCTGACCGACCAGAGCTTATCCCAGTTTCCTTAGCATGAAGCATGCCTATGAGTATTGTGATTCTCCCCTGGAAGGGATGCTTGTCCATTACAGGGTTACCCCCAAGCAGTATATCGCTGGCGCCCATTTATAAACCTGGGTGAAGAGAGACAAAGTGGAGTAAAGTTCCTTGTCTAAGGAAACAATACAACAGGCGAGGCTTGAACTCCAGACCTCCAGATCTGGGGTTCGAGGTGTTAACCACTCGGACACACATGCCTCCAGTCCACTGGATCTATATTATAGTTCAGTCTAAAGTTAACATTCCACAGGATTCTTAAAACATCCACACCTAGTCAACTGGCACCCGTAACCATCAATATGGGAGTTTGAAGATCCCATGTGGACAACTAGGTTGATTAAAGATTTTCAAACCATACCCAAATGAGCATGACTCAAAAAAAGGCCAGAGAACTTTGACCAGGAATTTCCAATGAAAATCTTGTTCCGCTACCCACCTATACTTCCTTTTAACTAAAATTTCATGCAAACCTTTTTGACAGAAATGAAATCTAGAAAATGTTTAGTAAAAGAGAAAAAAAAGGAAAAAGAAAAAAAAGGAAGAGAAAAAAGTAAGGAGAAGAGAAAGCAAAAGAGGAGAGTCAGAGAAGGCAGTGTCACTTTTAAAAGGTTTTAAAGTGTTTCTCATACCTGATCAAAAGATAATATTGGTCTTGATCCTTTTAATGAGTTTCCAGTTAATTTAAGTTCATCCATTGTGTGTACTAGAGATGGAAAGAAAAGTAAAAAAAGAGAACAATCAAACTCCAACAAATTCAATATTATTGGATTTTAAATCAAATTAAATAGAAATTAATTTCAACTGACCATTTTCAACTAAAAACTTTGCAGATGGACCATGTGGGGTGCAAGAAAACCTGAAAGAATAATATAACGGCAAATTTAGTTAAAACAGTAGAATGCATTTAATTCTATTCTCCACCAACAAAGGGAAGGCAACTTAATTTAAAACTTACCACATAAAAAGGTCTTGCCCTTTTCTCATCTCAAAAAAGACACACTTGTTACAGTTCTTCATTTCACAGACCTGCAGTCAATAAATTTAAATTAGTTTAAAATCCAATGTAAAATAGCACAAAACCAAGCAAGGACAAAAGTTGTTTACAGACCTCATTTACAACAAAGAGTTTGTCTTTGCGGTCAAGCTTGGTTTCTAGAAAAAAATGAAAAGGGAAAATAACTTAACATAAGCATTACATGTACATAATTTGCCACCTTAAATAAAGATTAAAAATTATATTGTAGTCAGACTGTTGAACTATATTTTTTGTTATTGCTTAAATAAATCATACAAACCTGATTTAGAGTGTGGCAACAAAGTCTGTATGTCAAGCATAAGGTGTCTGGCTCTGGAAAAATATAAACAAAACATGTCTAATAAGTTACATTTGCTCCTTCAACTAATCACCCATCGCTGAAAAAAAAAAGGATTTTTGAGGTGTATTGGACCCACAACTTGAGCTCTCTTTGTTACTATCAACATCAGTTTGGTAACAATAGCACATTTTACAGTTACAGGTGAAAACGAGGCTGGAGTTGACCTTGTTTTGATACAATCCTTCCTGCTTTATTACGTAAATAATGTTTTTCTTATACTAACTATGACGATGTATTTTTAAGCTTAATTTCCGTAACAAAAGGAAAGAGGTTTGTATCAAGACAAGGTCAACCTCTGCCTCATGTTCACTCCAAGGCTACGGATACTAAACCCACCACTGTAAAATGGTCTATTGTTAAGCTCAAGTGAACTGAAGAACAGGCAGCCCACGCTAGAGCTGTGAGTCATTGGAATAGTGATCTTGGCCAAAATATAAAAGTCTGTAAGAGTCAAGTAATACACTAATGTATTTTTATTATACCAGTGACTCAAAGCTTGAGCTTTAATTAGGCCGCCTGTGACTGAAGTCATAAAGTAAACCATCAAATGATATACAGCGATTGATCCTAACATCATTTGTTTTGTTACCAACTTTATGGTTGGAGAATAAGAAAACAACTATTTCCGTTAGTTTATTGGTTTTATCTGGATGTAATTCCGTCTTTCAAAATCATACCTGTGTGAAATACCACGTGAGCAGAACACAAGGACGCGCTGTTTATTTGTCCATTTTCCCTAGAAAAGAGGGTTAACGAATTCAATACAACAACTGGAAACATGAAAACACAACATTTTGACTGTTTTATACCTTTTTGGTCTTCTTCTTCTTCGTTTTTTGCACTCCATTGTCGGTCGTCGAAGCTTCTACTTCTTCGATAGCTCTCTTCTTCGCCATTTTGATTTCTCGTGTGTTACTTACATGTGATAGATACCATTTTATTACAAACTGCTGACCAATCTAGTGCGATCTCAAACAAAAGAGAGAAACATTCGACAGCAGACGCCGCATCAAAGCTGAGGAAACGTTTGGAAGCTTTTGGAGGTAATTGTTGCTCTGACTTGCTATTAATAGCGTAAACTATAGCTTTGATTGCCAAACTTAAATGAGTTAGTAAAAACATCTGTGATTCGATGCTACAGGATCTTTGACTTAGCAAACTTTGCGTGACCCCGATTCTTTGAAAACGAAATTGCTGTAGGTCAGCAATTTTGAACATGTTGGCCCTCGCCCCTACTTTTCCGTAAAATATTTGTACATTTTCGGGGTCTTGAGTCTTAACAGGATGTCTTTTTGGTCCGAAAGCCCAGGTATGAAGGTATAAAGGTTACCGGTCCACGTTTGTATTTTTCTAATTCCATGATAACAGTTTTTTTTTAATGCTTAACGCTGTATGTGAAACAAAAATTAAACAGGGTCATTAAATGAGGTCTTCTGTCTTAAACATGGTAGTGATGTGAACGATTTTAGTCTTAAGCATGATCCATGATCAGGGTTTGAAGGTCTTGGGAGCATACCTCTACCCAAACATTCCTTGAGTGCCCCCACCCCCTACCCCACCTCCACCGGGCATTCTCCATCCCTAGGACCGGGGCAGGGTGGCTACTGTAGTGTTTTCCTGCACATAGGGATTTGTTTTACATCGTCTTTACTTACTATGCAGGTATAGAGAGGAACCTTTATATAATGAAGAGACAAGGGAGTGGCAAAATATGTTCACTGTAACAAGGTTTAGTTATATTGAGGTCCTTTTCCTTAAATTTTGCTCTTACCATGGTGAAAAATACATTCCTTGTAAATAGAGGCTTGTTATATAAAGGTTCCACAGCTGTACATTAATATATGGGGGGGGGGGGGGGGGGACCCATGGGGGGGGGGGGGGGGGCCCCACCAACTTTTTTTTTTTTTTGGGAGAAAGGTGAAAATGGGGGGAGGTTTCCATTGGTTTTTTTTTAAAAAAAATTTAAACAAAAAAAAACTTTTTTTTTTTTTGTAAAAAAAAAAAAAAACATAAAAAATATGCGGGTTTTTTGGGGTTTCGCATAAAAAAAAAAAGTAAAGAAAATTTCATATTATGGGAGAGAGTTGTGTGAGGTGAGGAGCGGATGATGTGTTGTGGTGTGGGGGGGGGGGGGGGTGGGCGGACACACTCAGCTATTTATTTTTCTTGGATCAAACTGTAAAATTGGCATGAGTTCCACTGAGTTAGTATTAATACAATATTATTACCAACTAAAATGTCTTTATTTTCTGTAGAAATAACAAGAAACATTTAACAATGGGTGCTGTTTTGGGATCAGCTATGAAGAACACAATGGATGAAAATTTCAAGAAGAATCAAGAGTTTATGTTGCAAACTCAAAAATTGCAGGTTCAAATTCTATAATTCAATAATATATATATATATAATTTTATAAAATGAAATCAAAATAAATTTGAAATTAACCAATTTGAGTGTAACCTGCAGTACGGGGGCAAGGTGCGGCTACATGTAGGCTAATTTGAGTGCAATTGACAGCCTCTGTGCTACACTTTTTCTTTGATGGGAAATTGGCTATACTGTTGCAAGGTTTTATTTTATTTTTAAAATAATTTGTAATCATTGATCATTATTTGAGTTGATCTGTTTAGCCTTTACCTGTGTTAAAAGCTTTTTGTATCTTCTCTTAGTTAGGAAGACAACTTCAAATGCAGAATGCCATGAGGGAACGGCAAATGTCTATGCAGCTGGCAGGAGCAAGAGAGATGTTTTATTGGCTGGCTTCATTCTATGGAGTTGCTACACTAGGCATGCTTGCTGGGTATATAGACTTAACCTCCATATCAAATGCATTTTTCTAAAGTGGTAGGCTGAATAGATTATTATTCATTCAAAATATTTCGTCATTGCTGATTGGTTCCAATCCCCTGGCTAATTCTTCATAACCAATGGGTGCATACCATATTTGAAAGATTAGAGCAATATACCATCGATTCGATGGCATATTTGGTTAGAAACAAGGCTGCTTGGGCAAAAGTGATTTAAAAAAATGGCGTTCATGGCTATTCGAAGACGAAATAGCTGAACTTCTGACTTAAACTGAGTGGGAGAAATGCGAAAATACGCAAAACATATTTCTCGATGGACTTTATCTACTTTTTGAGGAGTACCTGCAAGATGAAACATCCGTTTATATCCTAAAACCATGCCAAGAAATAGGCCAAAGTTTTGAAGCAAGTCTCAAGGGGGTAGGCATGTTGAGAACTTAGAAACATTTTGAATGAATAATAAAACAATTTATTGAATTTGGCTGTCATACGATGTGAAGAATTATGCAGATCTCGGAGGATGTTATTCACCTTGCCCTTCATCCTCAGTGGATAAGATCCTCCTCGATCTGCATAATTCTTCACATCCTACTCAGCCTCATTCAGTAATGTTTTGTAAATTGTCACAACTGTGGCTATCACTAATCCTTATTTTATGAACCTTGTTCGATAGTACTGTTGATAAAACTTATGGTGTAATAGCAATAACATTTTAATTTTGTGAGATCTTAACTACTGCCAATCAAAATTCATTACCTTTCATATGATTTGTTTTTAGGTTTAAGAGGTCTAAAAATCCAGCTGTATTAGTTCCTTTTTTGCCTTTTACCTTTATTGTGGCTTATCAAGCAGATTTTTGTTATGGAACTAAAATGAGCAGGATAAGGGGTAAGAATCAGTAATAATAAACTGTGGAAAGAAACTAATCATCTGTTACACGGTTAAATAAGATTACAGCTGTACTCGCCTGTTAACTATGTGGAATCACAGACTTAGTGCAGAGGAAGCCCAAGGGTTCTATGTGAAGAGCTTCAAATGGAACTAAGCTTTGTTTAAAATATTTCAAAATACATGCTAGATATTTCTACCTTATGAAACAAACAAACAAAACTTTACCTGTGCTGCCTGTGCTCTTCATAACACAGAGTAAAAGCAGGCTGGCAAAACCCTAGTATAACAAACCACAATTCTTCACCATAGCTGATTATGTATATTCAGTATGGGATAGGACTCATTTTAACGGGGTCCTGTGCCATAACATGCGAGCGGAGGCTACTTTGTCACCATATTGTCTTCACATGCCAGAACACATTGTGAAAAAGTAGCCCCTGCTTGCGGGTCAAATACTGCCTTTCCTGCCATTATAAGGAGCGATTTCTTAGTCCCTAAGTGTGACGTTAGAATAGGTTTCATGTACATGCCTTTGGTCTGAGTAAAATAATCGATTGTTAATGGTCTATGTTTAATTGCAGATGAAGCTGAAAAAATCATGCAAGAGGAACGTGCTCTTCTGGAACTTCCTAATGGAATGCCAAGCTTTGAATCCATTGAGGAGGCACGATTGAAGGCAGAAGGCAGGAGCTCTTAAAAAATAATGCGACATTTCACTCTGTGAAACTGCTATACACTAAACGCATAATCAGTTTATTAACGAACATATTATACTCTCTCTGTTACTGAGCACGCATGCGCATAATCGTGGTCGGTAAAAACGCCTCTTCCCCCAAATAATGTGCACCCTTACGCTAGCTAATTAAATGTAATTGCACAATGCAGCGTGTTTAAGTTCACTCTGTTCTGGGTTCAGGGCCGTTCCGTTCCTATATTAGCATTCCAATACGTGTACATAAGGTGAATACAAATTAAAGTATCCTTCATTCAAGATTATTAAATGTTGAGAATTTTCTGCTCGTGTTTTAACGGCGTCTTAACCAGTCTTCAACAAAACCTGGATCGGACCAGATCAGAGTAACTCCTGTCCGACTCCCGAAGTGTCTAAAGGTTAGGGATCGGATAGCGTAACAAGGGTTGATCCGATCCGGTCTGATCCATCTTTGTCAATGGTCGTTATCACATACTGAATTAATGTAAAACAATAATCTAAACACCGCCCGTTTAGCTGAGTTGGGAGAGCACCGGTTTTCCGAGCGGGAGGTCGTTGCTTCAACCCCGACCGGACCCCTTAAAAAACTGGTGAAATCATGCTGGCTGTGACTTAAGATCTTTTCTCAGTTCAGATGATCGCGTTATGGGCGGTGACGTTAAGCCGTTGGCCTTGTCTCCGTTATCCTTCTTTCATAAGGCTGATTTAGAAAAAGAACGGGAACGTCAGTTGACGACGGCGGACGCAAATCAAACAACTGGCATGACCAATAGCAGAGCGGCAAATTGGGCACCGTATAAGTCGTGTTTAGTCTTTTCCGCGCGCTTTTCCGTCGTCAACTAACGTTCCCGTTCTGTTGCTAAATCAGCCTATTAGACAAAATCGAAGCCGGGACGTAAAAGAACCCACAGTACAGTTCGAAAAGGGTAGGGGAAGTTTTCCTGGTGGTGTGGTCTACCTTTCACGCATCACGCATCATTCATATCATGGGCTATGGTGGGTTATAGTAAGCTCATAAATGGACTGATAGCGGTTGCCAATGGCGCACTTGTATGCTGACGTCAGATAAAGAGGGCGCGTCTTTTTGTCCTCTTATCCACGACATTCCATTTCACATTCCAATGTGTATTAGTCGCTTCCACACTAAGTCGCCTTCAAAGGCCCTAACCAACGAGTTGAAAGAAAACTCTTTCGCTGCCGGAGTCAATTCTAAAGACACTTCTTATGTAGTTGTAACTTCTGAAATGCGAACATAACTTAATTATGGTATTGAGATGGTAAAGTCCATTGGCCTCCATATATAGTCACACTCAAGTAGCAGTTCAGGGCGACATTATCGTCATCATCGTCATCATTATCAACAACAACGTCATTCATCGAACCAGTAAGCACAGATCGCCCTGACATTCACCATCCTGAGATTGCCTCTTTGGCTGCAGATCTTTTTAACATATAAACAAACATCACATCACGGACTTCAAAGTTGTAGGGCATAATAAACAGCACCACAGGAAAGTACTGCTTGGTAGCTTTCGGTTGAATGGCCACCCTTTAGTATTTATCCACGGACTCGTGTGAGGCGTAATTAACAGTACCACAGGAAGGTACTACGCAGCGGCTTTTGTTGTTGAATTGCTCAAAAAGTGGAACTAAGTTAACAGTCGGAAGATAGTCACGACTACCTTGTACAACTTTGTAAATAGCACAACAGGGAATTACTGCTCAGCAATTTTAAACAGTTTTAAATGGTCACACTTAATGATGAATTTGAAAAGTATAGCTAACAAATAAAAAGAGGACAGATGTTCAGCTGTACATGCTATCCATCACTTCGACGAACCCGCTGGTAAGCGTGGTATATTTTTGTCTGTCTTTCAAACAGAATTACACCTGATAAAATGCTAAGTTGGACAAAACACTTGCGTCGTTCCCACGGCGCAGTGTCGTCTTCAGAAAATATTCTGCCAGAGAATGATAAAGACGTCGGAATTAAAATCGCGACGGGGGAGTGACTAAACTTTCACTAAGTTCACTTATAACCGCCTGCTACAAAGACAATAAGAGAACTTTGTCATAGCAATGAAAAGTTTGTAATATTAAAACAACAGTGTTTTCCCTTGTAATTTATTCAAGTTCAAAATGAGACGGAGTTACCATCGGTAGTTTTGATTTATTAGAAGTGCCAACAACAACAGATAGAGTTATTTTACGTCGTTTTTTGGTAAATCAAACGATATATTTAATAAGGAACAGAAGTTTATACTGTAGTTACTGCGAATTATGTCAATAAAATGCTGTACATTCTTAATCCAGAATAACCCGATAGAAGCGCTGTTTCTTGGTAAGCCTCCCACAGATTCGAAATATTAAATTTCTTTGTTTCTAGAGAAAGAACTAAAAAAGCTTTTTACTATGAATTACATGCAAGATAAAGCTTAGGCTTTTGTAGTTTGCCGAACAAGTTTCCTTTGGAAAAACATGCAATTCAAAGGCGATTGCCTTTTGATTGAATTGTAGCCGATTTAACCATTATAACTAGCACTCAAAAAATGCCCGACGTGAATTCATCTTTAACTTTTGAAAATATTACCAAGCCAATGGAGAGTTTGTCTGAGCCTCTTGCGATGAGATGGACTTTACGTGTTCTCTACATCCTTGTCTTCTTGTCTGGAATAGTTGGAAATGTGGTCGTGTGTATTGCAGTCATTAGACGCAAGCGTTTACGATCTAGCAATAACCTTTTCACTTTCAACCTGGCGTGTGCTGATCTCATTGTCGTAATAATCTACGTTCCTACTCAGATGACAGCATTCGAGAACGGCCACAACTGGGCTTTAGGCGACACAATGTGTCGAATCGCGTATATTATAATACCACTGTGCCTGTCTGCATCTATCGGATCACTACTAGCAATAACAGTGAATCGCTACCGAGCCATGGTCTATCCGATGAAACCCAAACTTACCATGGGGAAAATTAAGCTAATAATCGCTGTTATGTGGATAACGTCTCTTTTCATAGCTCTTCCTATCATTTTTGTCGCGGGAACAGAGACTTATGAAAATGGACAAACCTACTGCTCTGAACCAGGTTGGCCGGACGCTTCTAACATCGACAAAGTTTATTGGATCTCAATATTTCTTCTGCAGTACGTTGTTCCGCTTGTTGTTATTATTATTCTATCAACTATTGCTGCTTGGAGACTAAGAAAAAACACGCTGTTTAACAGGCGAAGAGGATCGCTCGTAATAACGAAAGCCGTTCGGCGGCGAATGCATCAAGGAGCCAAGATAACAAAACTGCTTTTTGCACTTGTCTGTATCTATGCTATATGCATGCTTCCTCAACACGTAGTGTTTTTTTGGATGGAGTATGGTAATCTCAAGCAGATGGGATTCAAAATGTATATATTCCGATTTTCAAATGTCTTCCCCATGGCTAATTGTGCGTTGAATCCGATTGCTTACGGGACTCTGAACAAGGAATTTGGGATGGTCTTCAAGAGACTCCTGAAAAGAAAGTGGAAACTAAGTATAAGATTGAGGTGCTGGCGGAAACGCGATGTCGAGGAAGTAACGGACGTTGAAGGCCAAGAAAAAACTAATATCGTCTTGAAAGAGTTCTTGTAGAAAAATCTCGCAGCAACATTTTGCGAGTGCGCAAATTGTTGCGCAGAGAGAGTGCGCATTTAAATGCCAGTATTATCGAGAACACATACATCGTACGTAGCTCATCTCACTTGGCCAGTTTAAGCATCTACTCTGCAGAGCTTGCGTCGGCGTTGTGGAGTGGGCAAAACTCGTCCCCAGAGTAGCGATCCTTCTTAGCTGGCCACACCGCGAATCAAACGCATTGAGTGAATCAAATGTAGAGAATTGACGGTATTACAAAATACAGCGCAGTGTTTTACATTTACAGTAAATAAGGCGTGGACACGGGATACTTCAGTCTTAAAAGGACTGCAGTAAGATTAAGGCTGTAATACAAGACCATCCTTTCTGTGTCAAGAGAACGAAATTGTTCAGTATCCGCTGACCTAAAGCTCGCAAACTCAAGGACTATGTTGTGGTAATGAAACGAATTAAAGTGAATTCATGACTAGAAATTGGGACCGGAACAATGATTTTACAGTAAAATTTTACTAAACGAAAGCGCAAGCATTGAAGACATAGATATAATTATAATTGTATCCTTGATTGTTTGCTCATTGATGCGCTTTCTCGTGTGAGCTGGATAAATTAATGATAATTATATTCCGGATTTAAATTTAGTTACCGATCTTCGAACCTGGATTATAAGGCCCCAAAAGTCTTGCAGAGTCACTTTTCGGTCGCAGTTTATGTTTTTCAGTGTCGTTTCAAATATTAAAACACTGGTTTAATTTTTGTCTAAACTCTTGATTTCTAATAAGCCTATTTTTAAGGAGAACTTGACATTTACTTTCTGAGTTAGCAACGACCGGTAATTTTCTTTGCTTATGCATATAAATGACTTATATTTGCGTCTAGCAAAACGCAGACTCCCGGTAGAGGATTACATTCATATTGACAAAGAGACTCATAATCAGCTTTGTCAGGCTTTTATATTAGCGAGTAGACAAGCGACTAGCAAAAAAATCTGTTCATGTCAGTTTCTCCTCAGTTACAGGGTTATAATGACCGATCTACGCAAAGGATATAAAGTTAACCTTCTAATAATCTGTTTATTCTTTAATCGAAAGTCTACGTGACCCTCGCAAAATCGTCTTATTAATTTTTCGCACCCTTTGTAGCTTGGGTTGTGGTTGCCAGCTAAAATTAAAGGGAAAAAACCGCAAGTGAAAATGTCGTATTAAGAGAATAGACATAACGTTTTGATAGGCAACGAGTTAATGAATTTCCTTGTTCTGAATTTTTTTTTGTTCTTTCAATTTTGACGCATGGCAGGTAAATTTTTGACAACGCCATAAACACATATTCGACTGCTCTTTAAATGAGAAAGCAGCCAAAACTAAATTACAAAGTGTTAAATCAGTCATTTTTGACGAGCCAATAGAGCTTAAGGGATTTTAATTAAATGAGAGGTATAGTAGGTCCGTTGATTTAGGACATTGGAACTGTCGCATTTATTTGGGTAAGCGGCGCGTCGAGTCATACGAAGAAAGAATTCCGACAAAAAATCGCTTAATAGTTTGACTACGGCGGCCAGTTTACTGACCATTCACAACGACTTAAGTTCGAAAACGGCTGTAAGCTTGGTCGTAAACTATAAAAATTGGCACCCGACGATAAAAATGAATGAGGGATAGGCATATAGGTGAGTACAATGACTGTATATTATATCTATCGACCGTTTAACAACAAAAAGTTTTAAGATTTATATTCAAGTGACAATTATCCGAATACCAAAAGAACGTTTAATTCCTTTGTACCAGTTTATGCATATGAATGAATGTAACTTTTAACATTGGCTGAAAAAGGCGAGAAAGTAAGAAAAAGAATTTGATCAGTACCTCCAGATAGATAAATTTTCTTTTTAACCTCCTGTAAAAAGCAAAAATTCAATCAACTGTACGTATGACCCATTTAAATTCTTGCCATGCTATTCCTCCAACCACACAAATTCTGTTTTTAAACTTCACTCTTTACCACCAAAGCACAATTCGACAAAACTCCGCGTTTCATTTATTAAATACTGGGAAAAATAGAACCACCTTGTAAAACGTAAAAAGCAGTACTGCAGGGAAGTACTGCTCAGTTGCTTTCATCTAAATGGTCACACTTATGGATTTCATCCTTTTAAATACAATTTTAAATCCAAACCGACCCAAAAGTTGGAACCTGCACCTTAAACAGTACTACAGGAAAGTACTGCTCAGTAGCTTTTATTTGAATGGTCACACAATAGGAACTCATCCACAGACTAGAAATTTAGAGTCACCTTGTACAGTATAATAAACAGTACCAAGGAAAGTACCGTTCAGTAGCCTCCAGCCGTCCGACACTCTAGGATTTCACAAACAGCCTGAAAGGCTAGAACAAAACGTAAAAGGATAGCACCAATGATGTGAAAGTTTTATAGGATTTATACCCAAAATCAGAAGTGATGAAAAACAAACTAGAATCAACTCAAATGATTTCCACTGTATGAAATTAGATTCTCCTTGAAAGTGACATGAGTTGGGTCATTCAGCGACATTCTGGCGACTAAACGCACACAATATTCTGAATATTCCTTACTATTTACGACCGAACAACAAGGTCACCTGCCATGCTAGAAAGGTAATTGGTTTTAGAAAAAAATCACTACCATTAACTTTTCCTTTAATTCCTTAATATAAATTTGAAAACAAAATGTCAAAACCGAAACAAAAGTACCATTTTGTACAAAATGTAAATAGCTTTCTATCTTAACACCCATCCTGTATAAAATTAATTGTTTTTTACACTTAGGAGATCGAATCCCACTACGTGAAATTACATTTTGACACAATTTACTGTTGATAACGATTCCATTTCATGGCCTTACTTCGGTAACTAGACATTTCACAGTGAATAATCCCTTACTCCGAAGCATATTTTATTTTTAAAACATTTTATCGATCGGCAGCTGCCATACATAAAGTAATAACACAATAAATTAAAATTGGACGTATGGATTCCGAAGATGATAATGAAATTATCATGCACGTTCGGGTAATAATAAGCGATAATCGAACGCTAGATATCTGAAGTAACCAAGCCCAGCAGGTGAAAAAGGTAGAGTAAACACAGCTTAGTAAGTTAAAACATTACAAATGTATTCACATTTTAACTTGTGGGTTCACAAACAGGGAAAGCAGTAAATATTTGAAGGCTTGGCATATTAGCTTGATGCTTATAGCATTTAAAACTGAATCACGGTATATCGCCCACACTCAATCTCTCAGCTCAATCATTAGGAACGTAAATTCATAACGCAGCAATGAGTTTGAAAACTATAAGTTTTCACTTGTGAGCAAATGCAACCTGCTAATTGCCTTGGTCGACGAAACATATCGTGCTTCCGTAAAAAAAGTGTTGATCCAATTTCGCTAGGTTTGTGGATAGTTAAATGTTCATGATCGTTTATATATAATAGCAAATGTGAAATTTTTAATATTTTGACTGGCGTGATATGAAGCAGTACGAAGAATTAGGTATAAGAAAACCAGTGTAAAAAGCACATTTATATTCCCTCACCCATGCAAAGAAAAAACTAAGAAAAAATTAATTTCACGTATTTGTTGAATACTAAAAGAGTAGTACTAGCAAAAACAATATTGTGTAACTGGTCCTTTTTGAGGAATGTGTCCATACTCGAAGGTCGGTAAAACCACATTTACAGCATAATAAACAGCGTTGGAGGACAGTTCTGCATGGTGAGTGCCCTGTTTCATTTGCTAGGTGATACTTAACGATTTCATCAACAGATCAGACCAGAATACCAAAAGAAGAAACCACCTTGTACAATTCAGCAAACAGTACCACAGCAAAGTACTGCTCATTAGCCTTAATTTGAATGATCACACGTCAGGATTTTATGCACCGAAACGAAAGTAGCTAAAAGTTAGAACCACCTTGTACTGTATAATAAACAGTACCACAAGAAAGAAATGCTCGGTGGCTTTTCTTAAGCGTCAGTGACAGGACATATTTGAGTGTTCAAACCCCACTTGAAAAGTATAATATTTCAATAGGCATCCAGTAAAATAAATAAATAAGAAAGTTGTACTTTTCAAGTTCGCTGTGGCTATATCGCCGGTAACCGGTTAAGGTTTTCAAAACACTAACTGACCGGTAGTCGTGTCTTTCTGTAAATTTCACAAATCGAAAAACTAATTTAAACTACCGTATCATATGTTGATTAAGAAAAGTGAAACCGCTGAAATGCTTTATAGGCCTCAAGTTTAGCATTTGGTTTACGCTAAGGGCTCAGAAAACGAAACCATGTTTTGTGACACTTAGAACGTTTTTCAGGTCGACTGACGGTCAAGATTTTCAAAACACTAAATGACCGCCACGAGGAACGAGGAAAGAGGAAAGGGGAAAGAGGAAAGGGGAAAGAGGAAAGAGGAAAGAGGAAAGAGGAAAGAGGAAAGAGGAAAGAGGAAAGAGGAAAGAGGAAAGAGGAAA